GGGTTGGAGAACAAGGTCTCCTTTGACCCGAGCAAGTGCGAGGTCATCCACTTTACTAGGAAGCACGGCCAGCCAGCGGAGCTGCCAGAGGTCCGGGCGGGGGATTTGGTGGTCAAGGCCTCGACAAACCTGTACGCTGGCTGGGTGTCTGGTTCGACAAGAGACTGTCCTTCCGGCACCATGTCGACAAAAGTAGCTGCGCAAAGAGGGCAGCTCAACATCTGAGACAGCTTACAAACACAAAGAGAGGACTGCCAGCGGCCGCCGTGCGGAAAAGCCGTCGTCTCCTGCGTACTGCCGATCGCGCTCTTTGGCGCCGAAACATGGTACGCAGGTATCACGAAGCCGGCTTCGAGACGCCAAGCGGAGACAGACACGAATCCGCCTCTCCAAGGAAGACCCGTCAACACAGGCCAGAAGGGGCTCGTGCAGAAGATCGACAGCGTCATTACAGCGGCGGCAAGGGCCGTTCTGCCTGTCTGGAGGACAACGCCAACCAGCAGCCTCCTCCGAGACGCCGGCTTACCGTCAGCCAAAGTCGCTCTAGAGGGCGTCCGCTTACGGGCCGCAGTCCGACTGCAGAGGATCGATCGCCGACACCCGCTAGTCGCGCGGCTCTCCCAGCAGGGACAGCAACAGACGAGACTACAACGGACGGCTGAACTTCTGCCAAGATGCGGAAGACCAGCGTTCCTCCAATCACAGTACCTGCCAAGCTCACAGGATCAGATAGTAGTTCAATGCAAAGAAGAGGCTGCGAAAGATTCGAGCGCTGGCTAAAGACAGTACCGGAAAGCCATATGATCGTCTTCTCGGACGGCTCCAGGGCGACGAACGGAGCCGTGGGGTACGGCTTCGTCATCTACCGAGACTCCAAACGCATAGCGCAAGGGTGCGGCCGACTCGGACTGGCAGAAGTGTTCGACGCCGAGGTCGAAGGAGCGCGAGCCGGCCTCAGAAGGGCTCTGCTCACCAATCGCGGTCATCCAATCCACATATGTATCGACAACACCAGCGTTATACAAGGCATCCGCGGCAAGGCGCCGGACTCGTCACAAGACGCGTTCCTCGAAATCCAAGAAGCGGCCAGGATATTTGATATACGGACGCACTGGTCCCCGGGACACCAGGGCATCGAAGGAAACGAGGCCGCGGACCGGCTGGCCAAAGAAGGAACGACACTGCCGGCGCGGATGGGTCAAATGGCAACACTAGCGGGCATCAAGCGGCTTGCAAGGGAAAAATTACAAAGCCAGCACAGGAGATGGTGGTATAAAGAGCGAAGGCCGCGGTACGCGGACTTGGGGCTTGAGGCAGCTCTGTCCAGCCCTCCTGAACTGGCCTTGCCGCGGGCTACGTTACATCACCTGCTGGCGGCACGATCGGGTCACGGGGACTTCGAGCAATATCACCGACGTTTCAACCACGACGACGCTCTAATGATGTGCTCTTGTGGAGAGGCGAAAGACGTGGACCACCTGGTCTACTGTCGACTAACGCTGGCGAGGAGGCAACGGTGGCCGACCCTCCACTCTCGCAGTATGCCCGAGCCCATAGGCCCTATGGGATCTCTCGAGGCCTACTTCAAGAGATTAATCACCGACCCACGAGGCTTCGAGGCCTTTCTCCGCGTGACGGACTTCTTCCAGAAGATCTGTCTGCGGTAGCAGCATCCACACCTACGTAGATGTGAGTGCGGACTACAAAGAACCTCCCGATTCCAAGGGACGATTTGGGAAAGAATGAAACTGGGGCACCAGCGGGAACCGGGGACAGACAGAACGCGTAGTGGCCACAAGGCATGATTTGGAGGACGATGTAAAGAGACGACGTACTGTAGAGTAGGTAGCCTTGGCTCACGGCCCTCCACGCCATATACCCTTCGGGAGGTCTGCGGTAAGGGCTCTAGCCCGGCCGCCACGGCGTTAAATACAACAACAACAACAACAACAACGTAGACACCCTCCCCTCAGCAGACCACCTCTTCAAACTCGCCTGGATGGCCGCCCTCTCGGAATTCCACACCCCTTCCCTCGCCACCGTACAAACGATGCTCCTCATGATCCAGCGGCGGCCGACGAACAAGCATGTCGCCGACACGCCGTTCAAGTGGACCATGCTTGCTGACACCGTGGCGCTTGCGCAGTGTCTGGGGCTCAATCTTGATCCGTCCGATTGGGCGGTTCCGAGCTGGGAGAAGAGGTTGCGGAGGCGGCTTGCTTGGGCGGTATGTGTGCAGGACAGGTGGTTGAGTCTGAACTTTGGAAGGAGTTCGCATATTCAGGAGTGCGACTGGGATGTGTCACCTTTGCGCCCGGATGACTTTGGTGATGTTCCTGGCTGTGAGGGTGAAGGGCCTTTGGTGTGCAGGCACTTTCTGCACCTGGCGTCACTCACTGAAATCGTGTCCAAGATTCAGCAAAACATGTTGTGAGTTACTCCCATAATAGAGCATTCCTACTTTGGTACTTGTACTGACTGACTGGTGTAGCTCCATCAAAGCCACTAGAGCTCTCTCCAAGTCCCTCGAGGCTACGTTCGAAGTTGCCCGGCCTTTGAGAATCGAGCTTGCAGAGTGGCTGCAAAACCGGCCCGACGTGGGAGACCAACCCTCGGCATCCTTGCCAGAGTGCGGTCTAGACGGCAACGGTAGTCTAAAGCTCGCTTACATCACTGCCAAGATTGCTGTGTTCAAAGCACTACTCCGACCTAAAAGCATCGAAGTTCCAACTCAAGCCCGCACGGCGTTGCGCACTGGCGCCATGACTATTGCGCGAGAGATGCATGACTTTCTTGCAAAACTAGAGGCTCACCATCTCGAAGCTTTCTGGCATTCATGTAAGCCTCGCTCTTCACATGATGATTACATGTGCTTTCTCCGGAAACCTGAGCTGAACAGCTGATAATGGACAGATTCCCGCGTCAACTTCACCATTGCGAGCAACTTCATTGTGTTGCTTTTCGCGCTCTCTCCGACGCTATCGGAAGCTGAAGATGCACTTGCGCTTCTGATTCAATGGAGGGGCTTGTTGCGGATCAAGTCGAGAAGCTGCGACTTACTAAACTTGAGCCTATTGAGACTTGATGCCGTTTTCGTGGCTGGGCTTGGCAAACTCATTGAATTGACACCCGCAGCAGCTGAGGCAGCTTCGAATCGGAGCTTGTAGCAATGAGGGTGACTCAAGTCATCGGAGATGGTGCTTGGCCTCCCGTCCAAAAGATGCGGCTTCAATGACATTAAATAATAATAACCTGTCTTTTAGCAAAAGGGCCTGGTAGTAGAATCCAAGGTTTCTCTCATCCCAACTTCACGTCTTGCTCTTTCCCTTCCAATCCTTTCTCCGACCCCATTGAATCTTCCACCGTGGGATATCCGTCAACGTACAGCTGCTCTCGACTGTCGTCCACAGGGAACGGCTTGATTTTCCAGCCCACCCAATACGTAAAACTCGCCACGAGTATGCTAACGAGCCAACTCAGACTGTACAGATAAACTGCGCCCTTAGGAACTCCTTTAGCGCCACAAGCAGCCGCAAGACCGGGCATGTTTGGTACGATTGCAAAGATGAAGGCGATAACCGCTCGAGGGTTGACGCCAAAGGTATAGTAGTGGATGCCTCGCGGATCATATAGAGACGAGACTGCCAATGTGCGTTTGCGGCAGATCCAAAAGTCAGTGATGATAATGCCCGCAATGGCGCCGAGGAAGAGAGAGTAACCGCCCAGGAAGGAGGAGAAGGATTTAGCGCTGCGACACGGATTCAAAGTCAGCAAAGAAACTTGATCTTGGGACAATGCACACAACTCACCTGTACTGGATGTACCAAGGCACGGCACATACACCAAACACAGCGCAGATATACGCTCCACGCCTATTGTTGATGTACTTTGGAAACCACAGCGCCAAATCATTGCTGAAAGAGACGCTATTGGCGCTAATATTCGTGCCAATCACCGCAAATGCCCAACAGAGACCCGCAAAGAACTGAGCAGCGCGGTTCTCCCACAGCCGTGCGACTTCCAGGGGGTTCCAGGTCACCTTGCCGTAAATGACCTCGGAGGCGCTGCTCACGGTGGCACCTAGCACACCACACATTGTCACTAGGACACATAGACCGACGGCCTGCGTCCAGAAGACCTGGCGGGGTTTCTTTGCGTAGCGTGTGAAGTCGGGCATGTTGAGGGCGAGTGTTGCTTTGGGGCCGATGGCGCTGGTGACACATTGGAAGAACACTACGATGGCGGGGGTACCGTCTTTGATGAGAGTCGGCTTTGAGAACGTTGGTCCGAATCCCTTGCCTTAGGGTAGTTAGATACACTGCTGTTGGAATTTGTCAAGAGTCAATGAGGGTACTTACCAGCAACGATAGCCCAGATGAACAAAGTTAAACCAAAGATTGGCATAATCACCGTCTTGGCCATGAACATGTACCTCAGACTACTCACATGCAACCAAAGCAACGGCAGTTGAACGATGATGAACAAGAAGAAGCACAGCAGCTCGGAGCTGGTGACGTGTGCGCTCTCAGCGAGGTGGTTTGGGAAATTGTTGAACGACGGCCAAATGGCGGAGATCATGACCTGCAGACACTGTCCACCCTGGAAAGACTGGGTGCCGAACCAGATACAGGCGACGACACCGCGGACAAAGACGGCTCCATAAGAGCCTCGGAGGCCAAACGAGGCTCTGGTGAAGACGGGGAAGTTGATGCCGAAGATGCAGCCGACGTAGCCGTCTAGCATAGCCGGGATGCAGACGAGGACATGTCCGATGAAAACTGCGAGGATTGCGAGGCCTGGGTTTAGACCTTTTGTGACAGATGTTGAGGAGACTGTCGAAGTTGAGGGCAGTTGTTAGCAGTCATTCAGTGACACCATACTTGTAGTAGAAAGATTCGATCATGGAAGATTATGTGCAACTCACCCTGATACATCGAGATGGAAAAAGCCTCCGCGATCCAGAAGCCGAGCAAACTCGGCCAACCCCACGTGCGCTCCGGGGAGCCCATCGGGATAGGGTCCATGTCCTTGTTTGACAGCCGGCCTCCCTCCGTGCCGAGGCCGGCGCTCTCGGAGCGGAGCTCCAAACGCTTCCGGAGACCCATAGTTGCAGCTACTGATATGTGCAAGTATCGGTAATAGGTTGCTCTCGAGTCTCGAATAAACGCGGGCCTCACCTCTAGGAGAAAAGGGAAGGTCAAGGCGATCTATGGCACAATTGGAATTGCTAATTGTGTGCGCGGGGAGTCGGAACAAACGATGTCTAATCACTTTTACGTTGTTGCGCATCCGGTGTCATTTCTAAGACGAGGCTTATCAAATTCCCTTTCAGAGATTCAGCTATCGCCGTTGCCGAGCGCCATGGTCGTGGGATTTCCGGATGCGTGCCAAAACTGTTAGTGATAGGCAGGCGATAGGCGTGCGTTGTTATCAGTCCGATTATCGGGGCACAGAGATATCATTGGCCTATTCTTTGCTGGTGTTTCGTTACTCCAACAAGGACTATGATAGGCGTTGCATAATCTAATCAGTTGGTCAGCGACAGGATACTCGGCTATAACTTGCAAGTAGATTACTAAACTCGATAGGATTGATCTCACGGATAGCGGCTGATCCATTACGATATAGTCATCTTAATCCGAGGTCGAAGATGCACACTCGTCAAGAGTCTTGTTGAGATTGGATCCCGCGAAGTCACAGCCTTCAAGAGCGAATACAATTGAAGATTCGCCTTTGTTCGCACCTTGGCAACATGGCACCGATCGCGATGTCTGACCTGAAGCCACCTTCATCAACTGCTGCCGTCGACCCAACCGTGTTTCCTGCGCCAGGTGCCGATGAAAGATTGAAGAAACTATGGCAACTCCACGGGCACCCTCATAGCTTGAGGTAGGGAACCAATATTGCACCCATCAACCTCGACTGACTGAATGGCTCCCACGCCAAACTTGCAGGTTCTCTGACCCAGCGTTGACGAGTATCGCGGCATTAGTCAAGCATAATTCCACAACACAGCCTTCGAAGCCAGCTTTCATATATCCTGTTGGTGGCTCATTCGAGGTGCTGAACTGGGCTCAACTTAATGAACTCTGCGATGCAGCATCGAAGTTCTACTCTAAGCGATTTCAAGAGGCAATTGCAACTGCCAATGAGACTGGTCAGCAACCCACTGTCGCCCTCTTGGGTGTAGGGAACTCGATCTCATACCTCATCACCCAGTTCGCATTAAATCGCGTGCACCTTCGGGTCCTTCTACTTAGTAACAGGAACTCTCCGGCCACAAGAGATCATCTTCTCCGAGTATGCAATGTTGTTGCGATAGTCACCGACGAGGCGAACGAGGCTTTACTACACGGGGTAAGCCCGTGTCAACTTCCGGTAACAAAACTTATCAGCCTGCATGAGTTGAGAGGGAATAGCCTAGAAGCTTTTGAAGAGCTCAATGTTGGGTTTGAAACTGATGATGAGTGGAATCTCCAATCAATGATTATCCACTCTTCTGGTTCCACGGGAGTGCCGAAACCAATTATCCACACAAACAGGAGCTTGTGTCAGATTGCGCGGATGTACAGACTACTTCCAGAGTTCTTCGTCGAGAATTGGTATCTTTGCTTCCCTCTGTAAGACCTTACCCATCCTCGCTATACACTTGAGAATATATGCTCACGTTGCTCAGATTCCACGTTGCTGGACTCTCAATCGCCTTGTCGGGACTTCCAACCGGACTCCCTACTTCGTTACCTCCAACACAATGGCCACCAGCTCCGAGCTCCATCCTCTCTGCATGGAAGTCCTTGACAAGCCTCGGCTATCCACCAGATTGCCTCCACTGTGCGCCTTCGGTCATCGAGGACCTCTACGAATACATCACTCTCACCACCAAAGACTACAGTCCTCTCACAGATCTGAAGGTCCTACAGCCTGGAGGAGCCCCACTGTCGCCTTCAATGCTGTCCAAACTCCAGAGCATCGGCGTCAATGTCAAAACCACATACGGTACAACCGAGACGGGGCCGCCGCTTCGGACAATACCGCACACGAGAGACAACCCTGATGTGTACCGCTTCCGAAACCTCTATCCCGAGTCGGAGTATGTGCGAATGGAAACCGTTGCAGAAGGACTGTTCGAGTGCGTCGTGTACCGCGGCTTCCCGTTAGCCGCAGAACTCTGGCTTGACGAGACTGCGCCAGACCCCTATCGTACGGGCGACTTGTTCATTGAGGACCCCCCGGGGAGCAGGTATTTCGTCCTCCAAGGTCGACGAGATGACATTCTCGTGCATAGTAATGGAGAAAAGACGCATGCTGCGGCGCTCGCTATGACGCTTGAGGAGGACAAGTCCAGTGTTATTGCGAAGACCGCAGTCTTTGGGACAGGAAAACCTTGCCCCGCTGTCGTTGTTGAGATCAGTTGGTCTGAGGTGGAGAAGATACCTATATCAGAAGCTGATCTTATCGACGAGGTGTGGAAAGTGATTCGATCCTGCAATGAGAATTCGCCGACATACTCGAGGATTCCTCGTCAAGCAGTTCTCATTCTGGACCAGGGAGAGACTTTACCAGTCACCCCGAAAGGTAACGTGCGACGAGCTCTTGCCTGGGAATTGTATGGAGACAAGGTTGAAGGACTCTACAACTCCTTCCTGGGCAACGAGCTGGATACGAATGCAGATTCTAAGTCTGATCCTTCGAGAGACCCCGGTACCTTGGACATCGAAACGATCCAAAGAATCGTAGCCGATACTTTGGGCATCCCCATGCAAGACTTGGCAGAAGATTGTAACTGGTACGAACTTGGTCTCGATTCTATGCATGCGGTCGAAATACGATCGAGACTTGTGAAGATGCTCGGTGCTTTCCCATTGATGTTCATTTTCGAATATCCCACGGCAAGGAAGCTTTTCACTTTTCTTCAGCTGTCCAGAAGTGGTCTCGATAGCAAGGCTCCGACGGCCAGCAAGAAATATGAGTGGATTGGGTCAACTATTCACCGCATGAACAGCGAAGTTGCAAATTGGAACACCCCTCATGATCAACGAGAATATGCCAGGAAAGATGGCGAAGTCATCTATCTCACGGGGGCTAGTGGTGCCCTGGGCAATGCGCTATTGGAAGTCCTGGTCCAGATGCCAACGGTTCGAAAGGTTTACTGCGCGGTGAGAGGAGTCGATCCTCAATATCGAGTGTTGAACTCCATGAAAGAGAGGGGCTACTCGGCGAGCATTTACCAAAGCCATAAGATTGTTCCCGTCAGTTACGACATGAAGGACAATAAGCTGGGATTGGACGAGAAGATGTATCAACGTCTGGCGAATGAGGTGACAACTGTGATGCACAATGCTTGGAAGTTGGACTTCAATCAGCCGATTCAGCAGTTCGAAGACGACTGTCTGAGAGGTGAGATATCTTATGTGCCAACGCAGAGTTTCTGAGCTGACGATGATGACCTTAGGAACTATGCATCTCATGTCATTCTGTCTCAAGGGGCCCGAGAAGACATTCACTTTCATGAGCAGCGTCGCCGCAGCAATGGGAAGCCCCGCCGGCACCAAAGTGCCAGAACTTCCTCTCTCTGCGAATCCTGCCAATTCCCTTCCTACCGGCTACGCGCAGTCCAAGTTCATCATTGAGCAAGTCACGCAGCACTACGCATCTACTCACAACACCCCTGTCCGGATCCTTCGAGTTGGCCAGCTCTGTGGTCATTCAAGACTGGGAGCATGGAACCATACCGAGATGTGGCCTACCATGATGATGGCGGGACTCGATCACCTCGATGCGATGCCGACCTTACAGACGAGGGTTGACTGGCTCCCCGTTGACTTCTGTGCGGAAGCCATCGCAGGGGCGATTATTCCCAACGCCGCTGAGACGTCGTATGCTGTGGTCAATCTTGTCAACCCGAGCGCTATCTCATGGAACGAGCTTATTACGAAGCTGGAGGGAGCTTGCGGAAGAGAGGTGCAACACATTGGTATGAGCGAATGGGTGTCTAGGTTAGAAGCGACGGCAGAATCGCAGGGCTTGGGTGTGCAGGAGCTGCCAGCTCTGAAGCTACTAGGCTTCTTCCAGTCGATGACCGAGGGCAGTGGAAATGGCGAGGGTATAGTATTTGATGCTGGAACTGTAGAGAAAGGAAGACAGATCGGGGTGGACATGGTCAAGAGGTGGCTGGAAGTATGGCGTCAAAGAGGTTACTTGAGAAAGTAGATTAGCCGACCTTCTTGGTAACCTCATGACGGATTCGATGAATGGAGCTCACTTCGGCTTCCGTGATGTGGCCTACAGCGTTGCATTCAATCCGAATAAGAGGAATCCGGGACATCAAGACTTGGCATTCTCCGACGCACTTGGCAGGGTCTCGCGTTCTCTCCGCGGAATCCACGCGTTCCGTGATTGGCCGGAATGCTAAGCGGCGTCCGTGACGATGCTTTGAACACCACGAGACTCTTGTGGGATAGATTGTCTTGAAGAACTTGAACTTTGTCGCAAGATACCATGTCATTTCAATTTGATTCAATTGTGCCTCGTGTCGGATTGCAGTCAGGTAGCAGGTATATTACTTTTGAGGCACCATGCACGCCGCCTGTTGGACAAACATGTAAGCCTATACCCCCAATCAGGAAGCAAACCATCTCTAAGCGAACGCGGCACACTTGCATGTCAGCATGTGCGAATTATTTAAGACTATCATGTCTCTCATTCTGGTGCCCCGGTGATCTCGTTCGTGTCATTTACGTTACTTAGACAGTAGCCTCTGCGATGCTCACCTCACGCGCGGCCTCCTTTACTGCCCGCCACCACTCAGCACATCTCAAAGTTGCTATCCTGTGCCACCCCAAGACACGTCTCTTCCACGCAACCTGTTCAGTAAAATCCAGCCGAGAGCATGACGTAATAGTCGTCGGTGCCGGTATCGCCGGTGTCTGCACAAGCATCGCAGCCGCAGAAAAAGGCGCCAGAGTACTTCTCCTAGACGATGCACACGGCGGCGGAGCATCCGCGCTCTCAGGGGGCGTAGTCTACGCAGGCGGGGGAACCCGACAACAAAAAGAAGTCGGATACGGCCACGATACCCCGGAAAATATGCTAGCGTATCTCAAGGAGGAAACGGGAGACGCAGTCGACGAGAAGACTCTGCGGCGTTTCTGCGATGAGAGCGTGGCGCGGCTCGAGTGGCTCGAGAAGCATGGCGCACAGTTCGAGGCGTCCTTGTGTCCTTACAAGACCAGCTACCCGACAAATAAGCATTATCTCTACTTCTCTGGCAATGAGAAATCGTATCCTTTCAACAAGCTGTCTACCCCGGCGCCGAGAGGGCATCGGATGGTGCAGCCTGGGTTCTCTGGCTCTGCGCTGTGGCAGGCGCTCTTTGACTCGGCTATACGTCTGGGAGTGGATTTCAAGCCAGCGTCCAAGGTTCAGCGGGTTCTCTTCAACGAAAAGAAGGACAAAGTCAGCGGAGTTGAGATCAAGACGTTGCCGGATACCAACTCGCTGTTCCAGAAGCACGAGAGTCTTACGCAAAAGACGAAGAGATTCCAACTCATGGCGTCGCAACTCGCCGACGTCTATCACCGGAAGGCAGACAAAATCTGGCAAGAACAGTCCATATCGCAAACTATACACAGTGGAGCGGTGGTTCTGAGTGCCGGAGGCTTCGCTTTCAACCCTGAGATGAGGCAGAAACACCTCCCCGAGTTCTCCAAGGTCGCTCCGCTCGGCACCAATGGCGATGACGGATCGGGCATCAAGATCGGAGAGGCGGCAGGGGGTTCAGTTTCAAGCATGAACAATATGTCTGCGTGGCGGTTCTTGTATCCCCCAACAGCTCTGCTCGAGGGTGTCGTCGTATCTCAAGCCGGAGAGCGCATGGGCGCGGAGGATGTCTATGGGGCTGCACTCAGTGACACCATGATACGTCAACATGGTGGGAAGGGCTTCTTGATCCTCGACTCGAATCAATGGGCGAAAGCAAAGAAACAAGTCTTCCAGCAAACCAATATGCCTCTTCTCATTCAGAGGCTGCATTGGCTCTACTGGGGCTACAAAAAAGCTGGCTCTCTGGCAGCGCTCGCCAGCAAGTTTGGTATCTCGGCCGATGGTCTGGGGTCGACAGTTCAGATCTACAACGATGCGATCGCTAGCGGAAAGCAGGATCCGATGCACAAGGAAGCAGACTACTGCAGTCCGGTGGTAAAGGCTCCATTCTTTGGTCTTGATATATCTTGTCGCACCGAGGGAATCCAAGCTGTTAATGGACTGACGCTGGGTGGGCTGCGTGTGGATGGCGAGACTGGGCTAGTCCTGACCGAAGACGGTGGCAAAATCAACGGGCTGTATGCTGCCGGGCGAAGTGCTGTGGGGGTTTGCGCCAACGGCTATGTGAGCGGCCTTTCCCTTGCCGACGGCGTGTTTTCGGGGAAAAGAGCTGGCGAACATGCTGCTCAACAGCCTTCTGGCAGATAGCGACTAGCTTGGGCCGGTTCTATCAGCCCTGATGGCAAGAGGATCTGGAGCAAATGGAAAGAAATGAAAGAACTCGGGCCAGCTACGAACCATCGAGCCATGTCCACCGGTGTCATGCTGGCCTGAGGATTGGGAAGTGGAAAGTCAAACAAGTAAGCAACCGACGCAGTAACAAAGAAGAGAACCCGACTGCTTGTTCAAAGCCTCTGGCTATCGGGCGCTGTAATATGTAATTAACCACATGTTCACGTGGTCTTGACACGAGCCGCGATAGATTCGGCATATACTCCGTAGGCATCTAGCGACTTCTGTAGGGTCAACAACCAGTCTTCATAATTGCATGCAATACCAAATCAGTGCCTTGCCTGGCTGAAGAAACGCAAGCATGTGAAATATGGTACTCTGTGAGCATTGGGCGGCAGCTGAATAGCAACTGTCATTTTTGTCAAAGCGACGCAGGGGCCGACAGGGGCATAGAGTCTGACTCTGTGGAGGGGGCTGCGGAGTCAAATTCGCGAAAGCGAGCTGCTACTGGTTGTGAAAGATCACGGCGGACTTTCAAGCGGCAAGTGGGTGACTAAGTCATCTGCCGCGACTCAATACATCTCGCACTGTAAGTCAGTGCCCCTTACGGAGAATCTCTACGGCCATCGATTTTACTACTACAATCGCAAGCCGACTTGGTTTACAGGTTCTTGAGATGATTTATTCTAAGAAGCCCAGTGACGTACCTTATGTGTGGTTGATCATGGAGAAGGTGAGAGAGTGGTTCGATTCTATACTAACCGCAGATATTTTCATCTATCACTCAGAAGGCAACCAGGGGCAGCGGGCTAGTTCTACGGAGTATACAACGGAAGCTTTAAAGAGCCCGTCCAAGAACAACAGCCTTCAGATTTGACGAAAACCGCAACGTTCTAGAATTGATATGCGGCTCAGCATGATTCGACGTGAGCACCAAGCTACAGTGCCGGTGACCAGGGCAGTACATTAGTAGTTTGTGGGGCCGTCCGAAAAAAAGTTCGAGTCGGCGCAACTTTCGATCCGAATAGCTGAGATCGTCTAAATGGCCTCGATATGTGTAATGAAACCAGGCTTAATTACCCAGTGTGAAGCGGCCAAAATCATATGCGTCATTGGTCAATTCTCATGATGATGACCATGAATGACACATCTAATCCTCTAGAATCTGTTTGGTCCTCTTGAGAATGAGTGAGGATCGAGGGGACAAATGTGGCACTGAGTAGGCCGACAGGGACATGCCCCAAACATTTCCAGAACAAATTGTCCCGACGGCGTGTCACGGCCCACGACCTCGGTATGGATACATCTCCACTTAATCAGGGATGTCTCCGTTCAGGAGAGCTTCTTTCTGGGGGACGGGGTGAAAAAAATTCAAGGTGCCCGGCCCCGAGCTGTCTGAGTGGGAAATGTGTCTCCAAGGTGGTGCCAGTGCCCTTTTGGAGGTCGTCATTTCCGTACAACTGCTTACCATATGCTCGTCGAGGTGCTTCCCAATCGCTGTTAGTTGAGGATTGAAAGCCATGACTCCGTAACTAGCAACCGGCCAGCACGCGTGACCATAGTAGCATCATTCCGACTCTGTAAATCTGACAAGACTTCCTCGTCACGACATGGGCCGCGAGGATCCTGTCCAGGTGGCCGTCGTCGGCACTGGCCTAGCCGGCCTCACTACCGCGTATCTTCTACAAAACGACAAGCAGGGGCGATATGCTGTGACCCTTTTTGAACAGGTACACACATGTTGAGGATGGAGGTGACTGTTGTGCGCCCAGGCTGACTTTTACAGGCCGAAAGTCTGTCATTCGATTCAGCGTCCGTCGCCATTCGAGATGAAAACTCTGGCAAGGTCGAGCGCATCGACCTCCCTATGCGCGCCCTCGCTGGAGGTTATTACGCCAACGTTATGCGCATGTATGACCACTTGGGCATCCCGTATCATCCCGTCCGGTTTCTCTTCTCATTCGCCAAAGCTACATTACCTGTGAAGGCTGATGCAGCATCACCCAAGATGCCGGCATCAGGAGGTTTTCAGAGCGCCGATAGGGATCCCGGGGAGTACTTTGTCCACGCGTCTAACCTGCACCGAATCCCACCTTGGCCGGGCAAACGCGGAGTTCTCACACATCTGTTTGAGATCCTGTATTTGGTTCTCTGCCAATTTTGGTTCACGGTCGCGTGCTTCGTGATCCGGCCCTCGTCCGGAGGCTCCAACGGGGACGAGACGTTTGGCGAGTATTTGGAGAGAGTATGGATGCCGCGACGCTACAGCACGCATTATCTGCTCCCTCTCCTAAGCAGTGTCTCGACGTGCTCTCACGCGGAGCTCCTAGCGTTCCCTGCGAGCGATGTAGTCAACTACAAGAAGCTTTCGCACGGCCAGCAGCACTACACGGTCTGCGGCGGCGTTCATCAGGTCGAAGCCAGACTGGCAAGGGAGATGAAGCAGGTTCGTCTAGGCGCATGTGTCGCTGAGGTAGCACCGACAACGGACGGAAGAGTAAGGGTTCGCTGGCAGTCAACGAGCAACTCGGTCAGGCCAATCGTGGATGAAGTCTTTGATCGGGTCATCCTCGCTGTGTCACCGGATGTGACTCGCAAGATCTTCATGCCCTTGCGCGAGGTTCTCGAACCGGTACCGACGATTCGCGTGGAAAGTTCGGTGCTCCGTCCGACTGGTGCATCATCGAGCCAGTCGTTCACACTCGTGGAAGACGACGAATGCCGGCCACTGACCTGCTCACACCATTGTGGGAGTGTCACGCCGCCGCAGGTCATTTGTCTGAGGAGTGACTTCACTCGAAATGCGGCGAAGACGGAGGCATTGCATACAATGCCAGGAGGAGCAGTCGTCAGCACTTGCCCGCTGGATCCCCTGGCTGACGCGAAGAGAGTGCTCCAGACGGCGAGGTTCACAAGAACCCTGAGAACGACGAAGAGCAGAGCGATCATACGGGAAATAATGGACAGAAGGGCTCGCGACAAGAAGAGGGACTCGACTGTTGCGGCGAGGGACTGGGCCAATGGCCAGGACAGTGTATGGCTAGCTGGGGCATGGTGCTGGGACGGAATGGTTCTTCTTGAAGGGTGTCTCATTTCGGCAATGAGGGTCGCAGACGACTTTGGTGTAGAGGTTCCATGGCAGACATAAAGCGCAAGGGAACAATGAGCACAGGGCGTGGAAAACATATGAAAAATTCTGAACATGATGTGAGCAAAGGGAATGAAGTTGAATTTAGAGTCTTACTTACTTTAAACCCTGCGTATGGGATTTTGTTAGGAGCGAGCGGCGTCGAAACGCCGCGGACCTCCGAATCCTGCCGGAATCCTTTCGCTGTTCTTCCCTGCCAGTTTGCCCCAGCTGGCAACAAGCCCGGTCACGCGTGGCAGAATCTTACTGCAAAGGTCTTCTCAGTGAGCGACACAGCACCACCATTATTCCTTCACTCTCACTCATCTCATGCGATGTCACACTCACTTCATGCCGTTCCAGACTTCTGGAAAGGTGTACTACTCGGCGCATCTGGCTGCACGTTTACGATTCTATTCTTCACACTGGCATTTGCTATTCCTTTTCTCCGGCAAAAAGATGTCTACGACAATGACCACTGGAAGCTCAATGTCAAGGTGCCGTTCACCACCATGTGGATGAACATGGGCTATTGGTTGGTCCCTCCCTGACATCACAATACCTCGTAGATGATTGATTCCCCGCCTTATCTCTACTCTTGATTCCAATTGGAATCATCCTATCACCCATCATGATGCTCCTCCACTCCAGTGCTCCACCATAGCACTGCTGACTTACCATGTTCCAGGACGAATACCGACGGCCTACACGTTACGGATTTTGAAACAGCCTGTCGCAATCTACTTTTAGAAGTGCTCGAAGAAGCCCAGATTTTCAAAGACTCAGTTCAGTCCTCTGCGTTGGCTATTCTAGACTTGGGTGTTGGTTGTGGTGACCAGTCACTTGAGCTCGCACGACTTGTCAACGACCTAGGCGTTACCGGATACTGTTATGCAGGACTCACTCTAAATGAGCCTCAGCATCGCCTGGCTTTATCCAGAGTGCAATTGGAGGTGTCAAAACTCAAGTTGGTTGACGGAACTGTTGAAATCTTTTGCGCTGACGCCGCGAACCCCGACACCTGGAACGCGCGCGTGAAGTCTGCCGTCAGGTCTATGGTCGAGCACAAGACCAGCGATCAACACAGATGGGTACTAGCCCTTGACAGCATGTACCACTTCTTTCCTTCGAGAGAGCCAATACTCAACTACGCAGCCAAGAACCTTGATGCTTCGTTCGTGGCCTTTGATTTGCTGCTGAGCGATGAAGCGTCTTTCCGACAGAGGTTACTAGTCAAGCTCATTGGCCTGATGATGGGTTGTCCTGCTGCGGCCTTTGTGACAGTTGCAGACTACACGAAGCAGCTCGTTGACGCGGGCTTCGACGAGAAACATATTCGGTTCAGGGATATAACGGAACATGTGTTCCCTGGTCTCGTCAGTCATATTCAGAGCCAGAATGAGGCATTGAGGCCACTTGGGATATCAGTAGGAAAGTTCAAAGTAGCCGCAAAGGTGTTTGGTTGGTTTGCTGAGTCAAAAGCACTGAGAGGGACGATTGTGACCGCACGCAAGAGACCTAAAATTCAGTGAGATATCAGATGTGAATGAAAGAGCACTCTGAAAGTCTAAATGTCCTTTGGAGAGCATCTCGAGACCTTTAGTATCTATACCATGGAGGTTTTTTCTAAGTCTGCTATCGACATCCGCCTACTGCCAGATCCACGATGTCTCTTGGCTAAGAGTGGAAGTGAGCGTATACCGCGCCAAGAAATCAGGTTCAACTGAGACAGAAAGAATGCCCCGTGAGACTTTGCTGTGCTATCGAGGTTGTCCCGTAGATCGAATGAGACACCCTGATCATCTCTTGATTCGTGTTTGGAACAATGGTACTATCAATCACGTAGCAAATCGGAAGTCGAGCCTGTAGGACGTTAGTAAGACTCGTAAAATCTACCAGCTGCCGATGGAACTCACCGTTTGTTCCCTTTGTCAGTAGTATTCGCAAGGTAGTCGTGTTGCTGCTCTGGTGTCATAGCATCCCACTTCTTGGCTTTGCTATTATTCCTCCACCGGTAGTAGAAGTAGGTGAAGGGGTATTGCACCACCTGGAGATCGTGTAAGCTGCGATACGAAGACCTGGGGTGAGTCGAGCATCTACTTACACACATCCAAATGCAAATGACTAACAGGCCCTTGTTGGCCTTGAAGTATCGAGGGGAATCACTTGGTTGGTAGACTTGATCGCTCAGCATTATTCATCATCGCAGGAGGGTTAGGCAACTACTTACTGTTTGCGCCGATCATACCACTGACTTGAACCCACATGTTGTACAGGCTAGAGGCGTGTTGTTAGTCGAGTAGCATCCGAGAGAAAGAGTTGCAGAAACTTACGACGCAGACACTGTTCTGTTCTGGACGGATCCAGCGTTCCTACTGGTCCAGGCAACTTGAATGGGGTGCGTGCTGGCAGCAATTAGCAACCAAAGAATATAGAAGTGTAGTCCCCTGCACTTACTAAGGGAAGGACAACAACACCGTCGCAATCGCAAAGTACGCCCAGGGGCTTGGGTTCGCGATCACGATCAGGGCGATGAAGCATGGGAGCAGCCAAGCATCCTCGGCCATGGCGACGAAACTTCGGTTATTGCATAGCTCGCTCGCAGCTGTGATGGCCAACATTGTGATACTAGATCCGATGATCCACGGGATCGAAAGCAGATTGGTTTGGATGACGTTGAACTTGAGATCTCGGAGCGACAAGGTGAGGTATTGGTTGACGGGGTACTTGGGCAAGCCGAAGAGCAAGCCGAGAGCAAACAAGGGCCACATGTCGTAATCCTTGGAGCATTCCCAGATCTGTTTGACAGACAGACCTTGCCTGTTGTACATGCCACCCTTCTGCGGATCGTCTCGGATGACTAGCAAAGTTAGTCAGCTTTATAGACGGATGTTGAGCTCGAGAGAGACATACCAGAATTGACGATGATCTTCTCCTCCTTCTCGTTGAAGTAGCCTTTCGGATTCCACCAGCTCTTCGTCTTGGCAGGGCATTGAGGCATAAGGAAGAATGAGCAAAGTCCCACACAGACTATGCCAATATTGTTAGCGATGCAGCTCAAAGAGTACGCACTGGATTGACTTACAAGTGAACGCGCCTCTGTGAATGGTGTGTGAGCAAGTTGACAACATCACAAAATCATCAGGGGAAGACTTACTCGATAAGAAACAACCAACGCCAACCCTCATAGCCCAAGATACCGCGCATAGAAACAAGACCGACAGCAGCGAATCCAACACCGATGTCGACTGCAAAGTCACATCAGTCAGAGCTGAATATAGATTGAGGATAGTAGAGGGGAACTTACCCAGTTGCGAAGACATCCAAAACCATGCCAATCGAATCGGGAGCTATGGAATGACGTTAAAATGGTGCTCTGGTGCCAAGGTTCGGTATCAAACCACTAACCGAGGTGCCGGTGTACCAGTAACTCAGGTAAAGAATCGTGTCCCTGCCAAGGAGTTAATCAAAAGCTTGGGCTGCAGGCTTGTTGGGGGCCAAGACTTACGGGATAAACCCTCCTTGGAAGGTTGCGCTAAACAGATGGTTGTGAGTACATGCAACGCTCCCCTCCATGGACATCAGACATACTTACATCAAGTATCTTGTTGCAAGGAAGGATGCTCGACCCTTCAGGAAGAATTGTGCCCCAGAGATGATAGAGAATAGGCAAATTTGGATAGGTATCCATAGATCGGGACCAATGCTAGATAACGGAGTCAGTTCCAGTCTCCCAGCTGGCGAACAAAAATTACCGACCGCTTGGAGATCAGCTGCGATGGAAGCTCGGCAACCAGAAAGCCAACTCGGGAAATCGTTTGACCCAGGTTCTTGGTCGTATTAGCGTATGGTCAAACGTACAGCCCCTCAGTCCGTCACTCACATAGTCGCCTCGGGTCAAACCAAGATCGTCGAGCATGTTATCGGATACGGCGTTGGAGATGTTGTTTCGGTCGATATTGAGGGCTGCGAACATTACACAAGCCCAGGCCTGCTAGTCATCAGCTTGGATTCTCTGTCGAGTTGCCTCAGTAGCTTATCTACCATGATCTTCCAATCGACCTTGCGCCTCACGAAGAATCAATGACGTACGGTGTCTACACAACGCCAGAATTCAAATAGAGGCCCTGCCAATATGCAGGACAGCCGAGCCGTTCTATATAAGAGTCTCTTGACAAAACTCTTTCAGCAGGGGTCCCAACGTGCACTCCTTCCCGAAAGTACGGCTTACTCTCCAGCCAAGCTGTCATGGAACGTCGCCACAATGCGTGACAAGTATTTGGGCGTGCTCTTAGGTAGGAAAGGGGCATGCTTTCTCCAGTTCTCGGTCTGATACCGAGAGACGATCCACAGGTAGATGACGACAGGCCACCTATTCGGTAATTCTGACCCTCCAACAGCAGGTTAAACGGTTGTATCCCGAGGAGATACAAAAGTTGTGTGGGATGCTCATTTACCATGCCGTTAGTTGCAGCAGTTGTCGGAGCTTAATCAAGCCTACTTGCATTTCCTTGGGTTCTCATAGGACTTTGCGTTAAAGCTAAGCCCTATGCCAGTACTTTGCAGGCTAGTCATAGACTTCAATTGTCTCGTCAGAGGCATTCTTTTCTGCCCACGTAAATACGTATCGAGCTCTTACAACTGATTTCATCGCTACTGTGGAAAATACAATGAGCAAGTATTAAATGGGGCTGATGCAACTGTGTGGGTGTTTAGTGTGTCGCGTCAGCTTGCTTGCAGCTCGCGCAATTGATTCACCATCGTCGGAGTCGATGGCGTGCTACACATACTGCCCCCCCGTTGGAGAGACCCCAACCCGTCCAATCATGGTGTGCTTGACTGTCATCTGAACAGTTCAAGCTCTTCCACTGACAGATTCATTACAAGAAACTTGTTGATCCAGTCTCTTTGCCAAATTTCGGCTTGGAATTTGGTGCGCTTCTCCATCCTACATAAATTATACTACCGCACCATCTATTGAAGTATTAACACTCAGTTGCTGTCCTTACCTCCCCAGAAACTGCCATGGCGCTTAAGCTCAGATTCTACTCAGCTTGAGGTGTCCATGAAATGATGATCTTTAGGTACTCTGAATCTGGCCACGACGGTGGCCAAGTGTGTGCACAGGCACCAGAGTTCCAGGGTCGGTTCTTCCTTCTTCCTGAAATCTTATCGTCACTTCTTCTAATAGAACATGTCCAACTTTTAGAGTTGCAACTTTGCATTTTATCAGATGATTTCGTTTATTGACACATGCATTTCTCTTGTCAGTGCATGTTCTGCAAGGCCATGGACTCGCATTGCCTAGTCAAGGTGGTGACACAATAGTCTGGAGCTCAACAGTGCCCCCAGTGCCAGCTCTGCACCTACTATCAGTATTGCTGCCCTTGCCACTGCTACCGTGACAACAACTTTTACTTTCGTTGTTGGTATAGCCGTCACATAATATGCCTCAGGAAGTGTAGTGCGGTAATTATGTCGAAAATAGTGGCTATAAGAAGGCGACTGTCACATTTCCTATTTTTGTCACCCACTTTGCTACTGAACGCGAGGGTTTTCGTCCATGCTTGGTTCACGCACATTTTGCTGAACTCCCCTACCGATGTTCGAGGCCCTAAGTTCTCTAAGCGGCATGATTGCAATCTGATATTCAAGTAAGTTTATCAAAGTCTGATTGCCAACTGTTTGGTCTTGGTGACATATTTTGTAGTTGAACGTAGAGCAAGGGGCAGAAACCAGGCGTTTGAGGCTCTTCTTATGGCCCCCCGCCCGGTTCTCACATCCAAAATGCATGTGGCATTACGGCCATTTGGACATCTCAAAGGGACTATTCACATGCTCAATGATGGTGCGACTTTAGAAATATCTATCAAAACTTTGAAGCGCCGCTAGGTAAGCGGTGGGTCCAGCAAAGTGCTTAAAGCTACTAAAGAAGTCCCCAGAGCGATAATACTTTTCGACTCTGGGGCTCCCAACTAGTCAGTGAGAGGGTACATGTAGTGTTCAAATTCGTGCAGAATTCTTGCGGGGATCTGGTGGTATTTGAGGTTTTTTCTTTTTTCGGGAAATAGATGTCTCAACTTAGCCTTAAGGGACAGGAGGAGATACCACAGTTAATTCGCTGCCTCGACCCAACAACATACTCACCACGGCAATAAACATTAGTAGACAACAGCATAGATATTACATGGGTCATTCTTATTCAAAAAAAATTCAGCCGCCGCGTATGTTTATCATAAGAAGTATAGGCACAAGAAAGAATAGAAAGAACAGTGCGATGGTTCCATGTACCTTACCTAGGACACATGTGAGATTTAATGATTTATGAACTTTTCACGAATAAGTCAAGTGCATACTCTATTGTCTATCTAATCTTCTACATTATCACTTGTTTTATTTGTTTTATCATTCTCACACGTGACTTACCTTTATCACTATCTTTGACATTCTGTCCGGCGTCCTGGTCATACTGCGGGCATTTTCTCAGGATATTTTCCGTGGCACTGCTACTATTGTTTAGAGTAGTAGGTAAGTTTAACCTAGATATCTTTTACCTCTGTATAGTAGGATATGATAAGATCGAAGTTCCAAGCTTGTGAGTCAGGACAGAGAGACTAAAGACTTCATGTCTACAATGGACATTGAGATAACCTGGTCGATCGGTGTCTGGACATAAACCCCTCTTGCCACCAGGTTTCTATCCACATAAGTACGACGTTACGTTGGTGTTAAACGTTGTTAGGCAATAGCCCCGAGATACATATGCGGTTGGTTGGTATCAACCTATGGTAAAAGTCAGCCAAGACCATAAGACCGTTGGAAGTCCAGTATAGTGGGACCGACAGCAACATAATAGTCTAAACAATTCACAACCGAAGAAACAAGGGGGCTCGTGTGGTGCGAAATCGTCAAGTCGTATCGAGAAATGGGCAGCTCTCCTGGAATCCCCACGGAGTGCGTACGTGTTGAAGGATGTAGATTTCTTCAGCCGGCGCAATACCTAGATCGAGGAAAGATGCTCTCCCCTTAGGTACGAGTGGTCATTTACCCAAGTATATAACACGATTTCTCTTTGACTGCCGAACAACAAATTATACATTTGTCAATCCTTTAACCAAGTCCTAGACCTTATGCCCGTCTCCTAGGAACCTCGATTCAACAACACAACGTTCTCGATAATTCGTCCGTATCCTTCGCCGTCATGCCAGCTCCCAACTACAAATTTGAAGGCTGGCTTGGCCTCGACAAGTCGGCAGCGGAGGGGAACATGGTCTGGCAAGAATTCGAACCCAAGGAATGGCAAGACACAGATATCGACATCAAAGTCACCCACAGCGGCATCTGCGGGACAGACCTGCACACGTTGCGCAGTGGCTGGGTACGTACAGTTATCTTCAGTCCGCTACCAAACTTGCTTAAATACCAGCCTTTGTTGCTGATAAACCGTACGAATTAACAGTACCCGGCTCCCTACCCAATCTGCGTCGGCCACGAGATCGTCGGCATCGCCGTCAGCGTCGGGTCAACAGCCGTTGGGGACATCAAAGTGGGGGATCGAGTTGGCGTTGGCGCCCAAGCCGACGCCTGCCTCGGCCGTTTTGGGCCTTGCAAGGCCTGCGACGGCGGCAAGGAGTCGTATTGCAAGAAACCTGTACACACGTACGGCGCCTTCCATTACAACGGCGGCAAAGCGATGGGTGGGTACGCGACTCATCACCGGTGTCCTTCGCATTTCGTATTCAAGATTGATGACCGGCTCGACTCGGCATCGGTCGCGCCCATGCTCTGCGGAGGCATCACCGTGTACTCGCCGCTGAAGTTAAACGGGTGTGGGCCGGGGAAGACTGTGGGTGTTATTGGGATTGGAGGTCTGGGCCATTGCGGTATTCTATTTGCCAAAGCGCTTGGGGCGGATAGAGTTGTGGGCATATCTCGGAGTGAGTCGAAACGAGATGAAGTTTTGAGAATGGGTGCGGACGACTATATCGCGACGAGTGAGCATTCGGACTGGATGACTAAGCATGCTGGCGCGTTCGACATCATCATCAACACCATTAGCACGAGTAAGGTCCCTTTCAACCAGTATCTCAGCTTGGTGAGCCTAGATGGCACGTTTATCCAGGTCGGGTTGCCGGAAGACGGCTCGTTTGAGGTCAACGCTTTCATGCTCGTATCGCAGCGCATAACACTCACCGGGTCAAACACGGGGTCTCGGGAAGAGATTCGTGAGATGCTGAACTTGGCAGCCGAAAAAGCAGTTAAACTTTGGGTCCAGGAGAGGCCTATGGTAGAGGCAAACCAAGGGATTGTGGATTTTGAAGCTGGAAAGGCGCGTTATCGTTACGTTCTAACGCTGTAGACAGACCAAGTCGGAATTGCTGCCACACTCATATCAAGTAGTAAAGGGGATAATAAAGCAGGATATAGATTAATACTTCAAAGTTACATTATCGTCACTACAGTACACTACTTGCTGTCTAGGGCGTATTCTATAAGAAATGTACGTACAAGGAATACAAAGCAATAGTAGCAATAGTAGCAATAGTAGCAATAGATGTAATCGGAATGGTAGCGATGGGAATAGTAGCGAGAGGAACAATAGTAATACTAACAGTAGAAATGAAGCTAACCTAGGTAGAAGATATTGAGCGGTAAATAAAACGTGCGTTAATTATTGATGACCTGCACCTCTTTAAACATTTGATAAGACAGAAAGTTGCAGTTCTTATTGGAAAGCTGGAACTATTCTGCTTGAATAAGGCAAGTGATGATAAGATCCGAGAGAACCACACGCGGATATCTAGTCCTTAGTCGTGTTGTCGCTATAGCGACTTCTTAGTAGCTTTGTGCACCTTGCTGGCCCCGAGTAATACGCCGCTTAGAGACCTTTACATACCGTTACGTAGCGGCGCCTGGGAGTTTCAATTGACCTTTCCAAGTTGTACAGTTATTGAGCTCCATCACTTTCAGGCGACTGGAACGCGCTGGAGTTAATGTCAGTATCATTCTTCGTACTCTTCCACTTTGGAGTCTCCCTGCGTATCCTAAAGTATGGGAAGATGTAACTGTCGCGAGGCCACGTGCAGCTTGAATGTGAAAGCTGGACAGGGGTCATAAGAGAGGGGTCAAAGACCCTATTCCCCTCCCTTGTTGAACTCAGAGGTCCAATGACGAATCCCATTGAGAAGACCAAAAAGTAGTCACACGGACGTTGATGAAACCAAGTTATCAGCTTGGGGGCATGTCGTTAACAAAATTGACGTAAGTAAGACCGGTAAAGGGAGTCGAGCAAAGTGTCTGTACTAAACCAAGCACGAACGGAATTGGCCCCTCGGAATGGTGATGTGCCCCGCAATTCCCGACTTCTCAGCGCCCCGCAACGCGTTGGTAGCTAATAAATCGCGTCGTGCTGAGTACCTAAGCATGGACGCGATCATCTCACCCCTCTTGAGCACCACTACACCGCACATTTGATAAGTCGCCTCGAATTTTGAACACGTTACGAGACTACTACACCTTGTGCCACTCATGCTCATTTCAATAATCATCCAACGACATCTCACAAGGCAACTTTCAAAGCTGTGAAGAATGAGTGTTTGGGAAGAGCAGATTAAGGCCCACTGGAGCGAAAGGCCCTGTGGCGGCTGCGGCTGCGTCTACCCCGAAACATGCATCTACATTAGAGACCACCGATGCGCCTATCGTGAGGGAACGCTGACCCTCGCCGCGAACATCAAGGTGGCGATAGCCGAAAGAGAAACTGTCTACTTAAGGGTACAGGCTAGAAAGCAGGACGCAAGCCGCCTGCGCGAATCGCTGGCCCGCGAGGACGCCTACATTGGATCTCTCGAAGCCGCACTCGAGGAAGCGCGGAATCGCCGCGTGAAAGTACGTGAAGAATATGCTGCACGCGTGAGCGACTTCGAGAAGGACCTCGGTAACGCAGCGAGCGCGATGAAAAAGTGTGCTCATTTACTCGAGGAATGGAACAAGGTCCTGATGACGAGGGGCCTCCACCACTCCAGACAGGTTACCAACAGTGTCCTGGAGGATTACGACCAGCCTCAAGAAAACAAGGAAAATTTAGGACCTCGGCGACAGGTTTGCAGTGTTCCGCCCACCAACCTCGCAAGCGAAGATAATCGGCCAAGAGGGAATGGATGGGCTCACATGGTGAGAGAAAGGACGACGAAGGATCACTTTGTCGCGAGCTGGGTCTCTGCCACCCTAGACGCGCAGTCTGAACTTGATCGAGGAGTTGATGACAACGGTAGTGGTCAGACATTGTCCCTGGCAAGAAGACCACGGAGAGAAAAGACGCGCGGTCAACGGCATCGCTACAGGCCATATGATTCTCGGAGTTGAGATTTGCTCTGGAGTAGCTGAGCTTCTCGTGGGTTTTGGCACATATACACCTAATACTACCTAGCCTAATAGTTGGATTATGTTTATCAAGTTGACTGTAATATCAACTCGCCGAATGCAAGGCTGATCAATCGTGCGCCAGACTCTTCTCCCACTGCTCGTGTGCCGTGAAACGTGTGCCGTGGAATGATGAACTGCAACGCTCGACAACGGATAAGATGATCTTGAGACGGAGGCAATGTATGAAGGAGAGCAATTCCCGCTAATGCGGCGGTCGCGGGGTAAAGGAGCCCGGTTCTTTAGGCCGGCCCCACCAACCTTCCGGCCGACACGGAGGAGTCAAAGTTCTCGCGAAGGAAAAAGTGAAGGAGGATACTCGCGCCATCATGTTCGCGGTTACATATACGGATAGAATCTGCGACTTATGCTGCACTCCTTCGTCTCTAAGGCTCGCCTACCGCAGGAATGTGGCTTTTTGTCTGACTTCAAGCCAGTGCCACTGTGCCAATGATCAAGCGTGGCCCCTGTGAAACTGTGGTAAAGGGATCCGTGCAATAATTCTATCACGCAGTAAAACGCGTCGCTGCTTGACGCGTCCGCGTCTCCGAGGACCAGGCCTTTAAACCCCCGCGTGCACACCCTACCACTTACACTGCTTCCTCTTTTCCCATGTTCCCTTACAACAACATTCAGTATATTCGAAGCGAAACCAGATAAATCGAGAATTTCACTTGAACTCGACTTACTTGCTTCATACTACTTAGAGACCAATAAAGCTCACGGTGAGAAGATCCTCTCCTGTGGAAAGACAACAGTGTGCTGACGCCCGCCAGATGCAACCCTTGTGGAAGTCAGGATACGTTGGTGGCGCCGTAGAATGGGACCCGACGCCATGTAGAGGCTGCGGAGAGACTGGCATGCACACCACCATCAAGCACAGAAGCTGCGCAACGATGGAACTCGAATCCTCCGTCGCCGCGCGAGTCTTAACCGATCGCGCTTGGGAACGGCTAGAGCGTATTATCAAAGATGCAGAATACACGATCGAAGAGCTCGACAAGGAGTGTCAAGTGGCAAATGATACCGTGTCTGAATTGGAAGATGCCATTACGAAGGCTGAGCAGGAGGCAATTTCGCAAGCCGTCCTTGGGCCTTTGAGAAGGGCGTTGCGAAATGCGCATGATATCCAGCTCAGCGTTTCCATGTCGCGCAGTCGCCGGGTAGAGATGCTGGCTTCATTGTATAGGCAGAAGATGGCAATGTGCGACTTGTTGAATGTTGCAGAGGTTCGCGAGGAACTGGCCATTGAGATATGTATATCAACCCGACCGACCAGCCGAGACACGAGACTAGAAGCGGCGAGAAGCGCCGGAGCACAGGCATCGGAACGAGCCAGGTGGTGGCAACAAGACGAGTTTGCCGATCCTGAAGAGCTTGGAGAGGACGAAGAGCAACAATATCAGCACTTCCTGGCAGATTGGAAGTATCGCCGGATGGACAAAGTCCGCGATCCTGAAATCGACTTGCTCCGCGATTGTATGCAACTACCACCCTGCAGCTATCCTCCGGGCCGCGCACGTGTGATCATACAGGACGAAGACAAAGGTTGGGCTCAGACTTCCACTCCAGTAGCCTCCTCGACGCCTGTCCATTCGATCAAGATTGACGATGAGAAAGACGAGGAGTCTGTCAGGTATCCTACGCTCGGGTCTTCACCGCCCATGTCTTCACCCGAGACGACGTCGAGTCCCCGCAGGCTGCTGTGGGGACATATCAATGACAGAGCGACACGAGGCAGTGTAAAGCGCGGCGACAGCTCTCATCCGGCGTCCGATGATTCGATAGAAGAGGCGCTGGGCCGCGCATTCAGAAACGTCAAGAGGTCTGACAGTGCTGGTGCTACTGCGGCAACGGGCCGGGCCCGACGAACTACGGACGCTACTAGGCAGGCGCGCCGGGTCAGGCCGTACTAGAGTGAGACGCGGGTTGAGACCCCGAAACCTCGGGATGCCTGCGTGGAAGGGTTCTGGAATGGAAAGTTTGTACACTTATGACACTTGTATTATAGCTTTGAACAACTTTATGAAACAAAGGCCAAGCTCACTCCGGGGACATTGGATTGACAGAAACGGTTGGGAACTTGATCGCCTCATCTCCTCCTTCTCTGACCCCTGACGCTTGAAAGACCCTCAGAGGGGCGGAAACTGGAGCTCCTGACCAGGGGCTCACGATGTAACCGAAAGTGAGAGTCATGAAATCCCGCCGTATCCGTGTGCCACCTGAGCCGCTTTCCCCTTTTTGGTAGCAATTTCGGTGGAGAACTGCAAAGAGAAAACCCAACGTTCGAAGTCAGTTTTTTCTGCAACCCATGTTCTTTTGCTTTTTTTATGAAGAACATATCCGCCCATGGCTCCATGCCCCAATACTCCTTTTCTTTGGCTGAGCAACGGCTGGAAACGAACCACTCCCCCGAAACTTGGATTTCTCATTGATGAGACCAGAGAAAGACTGAACGAATCGGCATCAAAGCCATGAGGTGGTGTGGGAACTTGCAGGATGCTGCTGCTGCCAGGGTTTTCTCTGTACCCATTCCTGCCGGCAGGCATGGGTACCAGCACCAGGCAGTTGGAAACGAATAGTTTCCTGAGGTTTGAGAGTTTGCTCGAGACTTTCTCAGCACTGAGCACAGCCATGATGCCATCGCGTGACATGTTTGTGAACGATCTTCAGCATAAACCAAGGTTTAAGGAGCTGCCCAACCTGCATCTGACGGCACAACTGACTCTTGACTCTTTATCCAACACCCAATGACGCATTACGTGTCTGCATACGAGAGCTCATACGTATTTTCATACAAACCTTGGGCCGTTGACCTGGGCACAAATGGAGTCGACTCAATATCGCTAACTCTTGCCAAAGATCCACATACATCCCCTGGGCCTGGAGTAAAACGGGGTCCTCTGCAATGATGAAGAGGATCGTGACCCCCCGCCGCCCAGGTGCTTCCAATTAAGCTGTGTGAGAGAGAGGTGGTTTCTTTTCCTTCGTTCCCGTTCACCTCAGGATCCTTTCCTGTTCGAATGTCCACCTTTAGACCCCTACCTACATCATCTACAACCTCCTTTTGATATCCCCACCGGCGGGAAAGAAGATCTTCGAACCACCAAAAGGTGAGACAAACCCCGTGCTTGTCTGCAGCGGGAATCTGCCCATGGGGCACATTGCTTAAAAAATGCCTTCATTTGCGATCCCGATGAGTAAGGCTGAGTGAGCTGACATGGGGTTGAGTCAAGCGCGAACGTATCCGTAACCTCGGAAAAGAGGGTGCATTTTTATTCTCTCCGGAACAGTGACGTTCCAGTCAGATGGACCCGGACGTCTGCCGGAACTGCGGCCACAGCGGCAAGCACATTGACTTCGCCGACGCGCGGTGCGCCATCACGGAGCGGGATGACGCCGAGCGCGACAAGCTCCAGGCCGATGCCGCCCTCGCCCGGGCCCGCGACATTTGCGATACGTCGCTCTCGCTCATGAAGCGGCAGATGCAGGAGCTCGAGGATGCTAACGAAGCCATTGACGCGCTGCGTGCCGCACTGGCGGCCGCCGAGGACCGGAGGGAACGTGTTCGGCGCGATCTCGGGACTCACGGCGACGTGTGCCTGCTCTCGCGGTCAAACCTCGAGGCGGCGGAGGAGATGGCCATCTCGGCTGCTGGGCGCTACTTTGAGGCTGGACGGGCTGTGACTGCGTTGGAGGATCGGGAGCAGCTGCGGAAGCAGTCGCCAAGTATTCACGTGGAGGAGGCGCCGCCTTTGCCGATGACTGTGCCTATGGAAGAGGATGACGATGCAGAGGAGGAGGCGAGAGAGAAGGAGGACCGGAGGTGGAAGAGGTCGAATGAGCGGTTTTGCAAGTGGTTGAGGCAGTCTGAGGCGCAGCGACAGATTATGAAGTCGTCGTGGACGAAGCTGAGGGTCGCGGAGAGGTTAGCCGGCGAGAGCGTCGACGTCGATGTAGTCGACGCTGTTGACGACGAGGAAGATGAAGAAACGGCACGCCGGAATAGGGTCCAGGCGTGGACTGCGGCGCGGCGGCTGACGGACCAGCTTCCGCCAGAGGAGGATCCCACCATGGAGACGGAGTACCTCGAATCGGAGCCAACTGATTCGGCGGAGACGACGGAGGAGTCTTCTGAACCTTTGGTCCTGGCGCCTGCACCGACGTCTGCTCCTACTCCTGCCGCTCGCAAGACGGGCGTATCGAAGAGAGCGCCGGCGTTGAGGACAAGGGCAAAGACAGGCAGAGCTGCGACGACGGTGACTGCGCCTGCGCCTGCGACACAAGCGCCCCAAACAGTGCCGTCGAGTCCGGTAAAAGGACGAAATCTGCGGACAGCTCGGAGGGTAGAAAGCCAGACTCGCTCGGAACCGATAAGACCTACGACGGGTACGACAACAGCGACAAAGAGGGTAAAGAGGGAGCCGAAGACGACATCTGCGGTTGTGATGGGAAAGGCGGGAACTACTACTACGCCTAGTTCGGATGGTGCCGCCGCTGGCCGGCCGGCTGCGAGGACACGGGCTCGGACTGGGAAGACCCCGGCTACGGTAGCGGCAGTGGTCGCAGCGGAAACGCCGGCAGCGACACGGCCTCAAAGGGCTACGAGGAGGAGGTCGGTGAGGGTTCAACCGTATCCTCAACCTGGCGCTCAGCCAAGATGGAAGTAGAGTGCGGCTGTTGTGGCGATGGTTTGAGGGTGCCGGAGGTTTTGAGGAAGTTGTATTGGAATCATGAAGGCCTTGGGGAGGGGGCCGATGCCCTCCCCGTCCATACCCCATAGATTGAATAGTCTCAATTCACAGCGTTTCTTTTGTCAGCTAACGTAATCAATGATCTTGTTTATACTCGATGGCTGTCTATGTTTACTAAAGTCCCATTACAAAAGTACCATTGAATTAGGTTGTAATGATTGAAATTCGATAAGATAGTAAGATCTGATAGGCGGATGATCGTAATATGTCGCCATCGGAGCCATTCATCACGACATGGCGGAACATCAACTCTAAAAGAACCTCCACACCGAATCCGCACTCCTCGTCTTCTTGAAAGCGCTGTACCATCTGCAAAGCGGGTACATGATTGCCATAATCACCAGCCAGTTCGCCCACCACACCCAAATGCTACTGACCCCGACCGCAGGCCTACCGTCCATCGGCGGTGGCAGTCCATTCTCTCGGCCAAAGAGCCCGACGAGCAACATGCACAAGCTAAAGAGAATGACGAGATGGGTGAGGTAAAAGAAGAGCGCCGACGTGCCAAAGACAAGGAGCATGCCGAGCCACTTTGTCGCAAACAACGGCGGTACCGAACCGAAGATGGCAAGCAGGAAGAAGGTCGCTGCGAGGGTGTACGCGAAGAAGGCAAAGTCTGGCGGGTACTTCACGACGTAGAAGAAGGATGCGACGGAGGCGAGGTACGGGTTCGCGTCCGGGCTCGCCGCTTGGTCCGGGGTCCGCAGGCAGCCTTCAGACAGGTTCCCGATGCGAAGCACACGCGTAAGAACGAAGAGGACGCTGAATACGAGACCCACGGCGACATTGCCACAAGCCAGCTTCGTGGGCGACAAGGGACGAGCGAGGATGATGCGCGCGTACAGGAGCCCCAGGATGGCAAAGGAGAGCCACGCCAGCGGCGGGAAGCCGGACATGACGCGCGGGCGGTTAATGTCAAAGAACCAAAAGCGCCAAAAGTCGTTTGCTACCGTGCCGGTTACGGGCGAAGACGAAGCGGCAGCGCAGGTGCCGTGGGTCGGCGAGACCCAGTGGTTCCAGCAAATCGTGACGAAGCCGAGAACGAGGAGGACGACATTGTGGACGTGCCACGAGATCATCTGGGCGCGAGCGGAAGCCTTGGACTTGGGCGGGTTCTCGTGGCCGGTGTGAACGAGGAGAGGCGTCCTCTCACTTCCGTCGCCGCGACGACGACCACCTCCACAGCCGGTACCTACAAAGAAACGATCGAGCACGTTAGCCAACAACGGCTCCGTCTCGTTGATAGCGAGCCACAAGAGGCCGACGAGGAGGTAATCCACCGCCAGCGCCACGAGGACCATGTTAAGAAACCACAGCTGGCCCTGCGTCAGCACGAACCCCATAATCGTCGAGACGGCCGTCAAAATAACGGCGCGTATGGCGAAATGCTTCGCCATGCGAGCGGACGACCAGCCCATCTTGAGACGGGAGCGACCGAAATATGCGATGCCCATGCCGAGGAGAAAAGTGAAGCCGGGAGCGCAGAGGTGCGAGAGCATGCGGACGGCATAGCCGAAGGGACCGTTCCAGCGCTCGACGACGGCGGAGTCGGATTCTTGGTGGTTGGCGCCGGTGGAGTGTGGCCAGGCGTTGAGGCCGACTACGTTGTGGTCCATTGCCATGAACATCATCAGTAGACCGCGGAGTAGGTCTGGTGCCAGGGCGCGGGTTGGCGGGGGCGGCGGCGAGGCATCATCATCGTCTACCGGTGATGGCTGTTCTGGCAAAATGGTCGGCCGACGGCCGTTTGCTATTGCCCGGAGGGAGTCGGTGGCCTTTGGAGGAGCTGTAGACGGCGGCTGAGAGGTGCCGTAGGTGTAGTCGTTGGATGATGTGCTCTGCTCGAGCGTGTTGGCGTTGTCGTCGTCGGATTCAGCTGCCGTCACGGACTCTTCATCATTGGGGAGGGTGTGCAGGGAGGTGTCCTCCTCGTCACGGTGGAAGCCTCGGACATTGGGATCTTTGAGAGACTCCCGTAATATGGAAGCGAGGTTGGCGTCTGTGGAAGCCATCTTGCTTGCCGGGTTCTGCGGGTTTACGTAGAGAACATGAGCCGTCTCCGAAAGTCTCACAAGAAGAGGGTTCAAAGCACGAGAAGGCAAAGGGTACGACTTATGAACTGTGTCACTTTTGTTCAACGCCCACGGGAGGATTAGTCAACCGGACGCAGGTCTCCGTCTGACCCGCGTCGCGAGAGGGAGAAACACATAGACTCTAAGAGGGGGGATCTTAGCGCGGGCAAAAAGGGCGGATTCTATCTTTGTGGAACGTGTCGCGGTTGATGACGTGCACCAATTGCAGTTGGGGGAAATTTGGAACTGGCGGAGCGGAGGACGTGGGCGACGGCTCAGGCACAAGACAAAGACATGGTGGATATTGGGCTTTGTTGTGAGTTCTTTTATTATCTTTCATAGTCTCTTTCAGGTTCCCCTGCTTCTGCAGCTTCTGCAGCATGCCTAGTTTTGGCGATGCCATCTTGCCGGACTCAAGCTGCCTCAAGACTGAGAGAGCATCTAGAAGAGGTGAGTAGACAGAGAGAAGCAAAGAACCTGAACTTTGCCCCTCGGTGACTTTCGCAGGTGAGCTGTGTGTGAGGCGGGCCAACTTCAGCCCCGAGCGGCTCAGCCGTCTGAACTTTCCACGCGACAGGTCCGCCACTAGATAGGTACTTAGCTCCAGAATCCCGTCAAACTCCGCATAGTTCAGCGACATTGTCTGACTTGCTAATCTTCGTATTGCTTCCATCGTTCGCTTTCGGCTCTTATGAGCACCAAAAGAGACATTTCGAAACCGCCATCACTGATTCTATGGGCTCTTCTCTTCTGAGGCGGTGTCACACCATGCCGTTTGTCCCGGCTCACTGGTTAGACTTCCCGCTGACCGCCTCAGCTGTGTGGACCTGTACCTGACATGGGCTTGAGAGGCGCCGGTACATGTGGCACCGCGTAACGGGCTCGTTGGGGGTGACCTGCCAGCGAAACGCTGCATTTGGGGACTTGCTGCAGCTCAAGAGCAAGTGATCTATCCGGAAGACCTTTCAGATTTCAGGAACCCGCAAGCTTTTCATTCGCGGTTGCACTGGGTGTGAAGAGTCGTCAATCGATCAAGTCTTAAGATGCTGCAACGATCCTCTTCCGTCTCACGTCAGCTTGGGCGCCACTGACAAGATGAAGATTTGGTGGCTCATTCCAACGAACCCCGCCCAGCTCTGTGGCTGAACATAAACTCGAGACAGTGTGGGACTGTTAAGTCGCTCAGTCTAATGAGTCAGCATGTCTCTCTTGGCCTCTCACTGTGACGGTCCATTTTAGGAGATTCTCGGTAAATACGGAGTACAGTGGGCCGATTTCCTCGTTCATTAGACTCTAGCAACCTACGGAGTACCCAATGTTGGAAACTTGAGCATCTTGACAATGTCTCTCGGCTTCGGATAAACACGAATATCCAGAGGACGGCCCGAGCGAAAGAGCTCATCGACCAGACCTCATCGAAGAGTTGTTCCGGCCCAGTCCCCCGGCCGTCTTCCGAACCGGATTGAAGCCGGGCAGAAGCTGCTCGTCCCAATCGAGCCTTTCGAAACGCTTCCATTGGTGAGGGCATCTCTAGCAGCTTCTTAGTCCGCTTTACCGCAAGTCGTCATTGCTGTCCGCAGTTTCGTCACGAAGGCAGCTCCCAGAATGCGGAGGGATTCTGGAGACCCCATCCGTGTTTCCCTGCCGTTCCGAGTTCCGACCTCCGTTATGCCCCACTTTGGAGTTGTCCGCGGGGCATCACCGCGGGGCAATAAATGAACCCAGAAGCCGTGACGAGATGATGTTAATGAGAAAGCTGGGACGAGATTCGTTGGCTGAAGAAGACAATTGTACTCAAAATGGCAGACAAGACAGATATTGAAGCCATTCTCAAGACATTAACTCTCGAGGAAAAGGTATGATTTCTAGGTCCTCTTTACTGAATATCGCTGACCCCTCACTCATAGATCCGCCTCCTCGCTGGCCGCAACTTTGTAGAAACTGGGGATGTCCCCGATAAAGGTGTCCCAGCAATCAAAGTAAAATCACCACAAACATGTATCGATGACAACAAGGCCCCGTGTTGACATTCTTTCACAGACAACAGATGGCCCCAACGGCACTCGCGGCGCCGCAATAGACGGCAGCACAAAAGCAGCATGCTTCCCCGCCGCCTGCAGCATAGCAGCAACCTTTGACCGACGCATCGCCCGCTCCGTCGGCGCCGCCCTAGCCCAAGAATCCAAAGCAAAGGGGGCCCGATGCCTCCTCGCTCCGACCGTCTGCATTCACCGCCACCCGTTGGGAGGGCGCAACTTTGAGAGCTACAGCGAGGACCCCTTTTTGGCGGGCAAGCTCGCCTCGGAAATGATTCAGGGGTGTCAGAGCCTGGGCGTGAGCGCGACGATTAAGCACTTTGTCGCCAACGAGCAGGAGACGGCGAGGACGACGGTCGATGAGACGATTAGTGAGCGGGCGTTGAGGGAGATTTACCTCAAGCCGTTTGAGATTGCGGTCAAGGAGGCTAAGCCTTGGGCGATTATGTCCGCGTATAATCTCATCAACGGGAAGCACTGCGACTCAAATGAGTGGTTGCTAAAAGAGGTACTGAGAGGGGAGTGGGGATGGAAAGGGCTGGTTATGAGCGACTGGGGTGGAACGAACTCCGTGACGGAGGGCATCAAGGCCGGGATGGACATTGAGATGCCCGGTCCCCCAAGGATACGCAAGCCCGCCGCCGTGCTCGAGGCCGTAAAGAATGGCGAGGTCACAGAAGCTGATATCGATGAGCGCGTTCGCACGATTCTCGAGTGGACGGAACAACTCAACGGCTTCAAGGACCCAACCATCACCGTCGAAAAGGCTATTGATCGCCCCGAACACCGCGCCTTAATCAGGGATGCCGGCGCGCGGGGCATCGTCCTCCTCAAGAATGACAACAACATCCTCCCGCTCACGAAAGAAAAGGTCAAGGGCAAGAAGATTGCCCTCATCGGTTATGCCAAAGACGGCCTTGCCCACGGCGGCGGCAGCGCGAGCGTGAACGCACACTACAGGCTCCCGCCCTGGGATGCTCTCCACGAGGCCCTTGGCTCTGACGTTGAATTCACATACGCAAAGGGTGCCCATAAGGAGCGTCTTCTTCCGCCCATCACACCAGACGGCAAAGTCGGCACTATCGTCGGCCTGGACGGACAGCCTGGTTTCAGCCGCGTATTCTACGACTTTGGCAAAGAAGACGCCGAGCCTGTCTCGGTGCTAAACAGCTACCCCAACTCAGCCTACTCCCCGCTAGGCTCCCAAGAGTCCATGTGGAAGACCCTCGATATCGTCGGCGACTTCGCCCCCTCCGAGACGGGATCGCACTACATCGCGTGCTCAGGTATCGGCCCAACCCAAGTGTTTGTAGACGATGAAGTCGTCTTTGAGCAAATAGGTAACTGCGCAGACCCCATGGGCGCCCTCTTCCAAGCCGCCAATGAGCCTCAGACAAAACACGCCTTCACAGCGGGCAAGACCTACCGACTCCGCATCCACAGCAAACCTCCCTCCAAGATCGGCCTCGAGATCCTCGAAGGCCGCACGGGAGTGCGCATGGGTTTCGGGCTGGAATCTGATCGCGACGCAGACCTTCAAGGCGAAGCAGCGCGGGTGGCTGCCGAGGCGGACCTCGCTATCGTGTTCACGGGGCACGATCCGCAGTGGGAGACGGAGGGCCGTGATCAGGAATCGTTCCACTTGCCCTACGACCAGGACGGCCTCATTGATGTCGTCGCGAAGGCTAGCAGCGGCAAGACGATCGTAGTCAACTCTACTGGTGTGGCTGTGGCGATGCCTTGGCTGGGCAAGGTATCTGCTCTGGCGCAATCGTGGTTCTCGGGCCAGGAGTGCGGCAATGCCATTGCTGATGTGCTCACCGGTGCCGTGAACCCCGAGGGCAAGCTGCCCGTCAGTTTCCCCGCTCGTGTTGAAGATGCTCCAGCACATGGAAATTTCCCTGGCAAGAGGGGCGACGACGGTGTTCTCCGGGTCGAGTATGCTGAGGGCGTGTTTGTTGGGTACAGACACTACGACCGCGTGGCAAAGGAGGTGTTGAACTTCCCCTTTGGATACGGCCTCTCGTACACAAACTTCGAGTATACAGGCTTCCAAGTGACGAAAAGCAACACAGCTGGAAACGAGTTCGAGGCCTCTGTGGAGGTTTCCAACACAGGTGCCGTCGCCGGCGGGGCCGTGGTGCAGATCTACGCTGGAAGAACGGAGCCGTCAGCAGATACGCCGGCCAAGGTGCTTGTGGCGTTTGACAAGGTTCGGCTGCAGCCTGGAGAAGAGGCCACGGTCAAGTTGTCGATCTCGGCAAAAGACTTTGCCTCCTTCGATGAATCGGTGGGAGAGTGGGCTGTTGAAGCCGGGAAGTACAGCTTTTACCTCGGCGAGTCTGCTGCCGAGACTCTGAAGACGGTATCATTGGCTTTAGGAAGAATCATCTACCACCGGTAGTGAAGTAGAGGAAACTTGGTAGCTAAAAATTTAGCGAGTGGAACCGAATACCGGTTGACAATGAATATGTGAGGATAGGATGTAGTAAACAGATGCCCAGATGAGATTGAAGAAATTGGATGAGAAGAGCTGATGAACGCTCGTGTGACAATATTATCCGTTGATTATACCAGTCATTGTGGTACAGGCTGGTCATCGAATCTAGGTTGGTATGGCAGGCAAGATCAAGGTCGCCCGCCGCCTTATTTTCCTGAGTTCTACTGGTTATTACCATACTTACAGCGGCCTTGGTGGCTAATTCAAAATGCAACAGCCCCCTGAATCATCTTGCCAGTCACATCGCTCATTGGAGCATCCGTCTCTAATGCGAGTAGTCCACTCGACGCATTGGTTCAGGCGGTGCGCCAGAACATTCGCCCAAGCCTGTTTCTCGAGGTCACCACAATCGATGCGACAAGCCATGAGCTTCTCTTCTTCCTCGTCATCCTCTTCGTCGTTCGTATTCTCGTCCCGGTCCTGGTCCTCCTTGTCATTCTCCGTGAAGTCCTATTGCTTGTCGTAAAGTACCACCCTTTGGCCGAGACTGTTGAGATGCAGCTTCAGCGGCTCGAAGTCCAGGAAATCGCTCGCAGGTGGACAGATACTGCCTCCCACGTGGTGCCAGATGCGGGCCAGCTACGTGGTGTACGCCGAGCCCATGCGAGGGGACGGATTGGGTCACCGTCATTGAGGAAGGCTAGCATGATGCCCTCCCGGAAAGAACTGGCAGGGAGTGAGTCGATATTGGCGTCGAATGATGGAGGACATCCAAGAAGTTATATGCAGGAGAGTTTGGGCTTGGCTAATGGTACGCCTGTGTGGTGTTTGTTCGTCAGCCTGGCACTCCTTACTGATAGCTGTAGTCAATGTCATCTGGTTCTGGTCCTTAACCAGAACTTGAGCTGTAAGAAAGTGGCCAAATAGCAAACAGGCTACGGCCCCTCCTGCAGAATAACACGTGAAGACAGTTTCTATCTATTGATCCTGTACTTGATCCTCGTTCAGGACTGTCTTTATCTGAGCCAGAAGACCTAGGGCAATAGTCCTAGCCCACTAAGCGAATCCGCGATATACTTTTAGCAATGGTTTATTGTGTGACTTGGAGAGTTTCTGTAGGCATTGAATTAATCTTGAAAGAGGTACTCAACACAAGAAGTCAGCATTCAAGAGCTCTGGACAGCGTCTGAGGCAATGATTCAATGGACTTACCAACAAGTCAGGGCAGTCAGCTAGCTCGGTATTCAAACTAGCAAGCCAATCAACAGTACCCGCGCTGCCACGTACAGCAACGACAACAATCATCCGCCGAGATGACTGGTTCATCGTTACGATCTCGAACAGGGCGGCGGTCTTCCCCGAGCCATCTGCGGTGTGCTCTATCCAACGCCTGTCCTTAATTGCATGGTCCGGGAGCTCGGGAACGACTTGGGTTGGTTCCTTTCAGTATACGGCTCTCGAGCAAAGAGCAGCCAGTTGCACGGCGCGAGCAGTGCGTTCAATGCCAGGAAAACAACAATCATCGTCAGTATTATCGATCTATTCTTGGAACTTTTGGAGCAGCGTCTAGGCTTAGACGAATGTCTTCCACTTCCATAAGGGCATTGACACCGGCTTCTTCTGAAGCTCCGCGACCATGTTGCATAAGTTTGTTGCGCGCTGTTCCATCGCCTTCTTGTCCAGGGATTTCCTTACAAGCCTTAATCGAGGGAACTTCGTCAGCAGAATGAAAGTGATCCATAGTTATAGATCCGGGTTCATTGGGATGGAAGGTGAACAGAATAAGAGATTACCCAAAACAGCGACATCGCTGAAATCATCGAGATCGCTAAGCATTGTAGCAACTGCAGCCGAGACACCCGCCAATGTGGTAATTAGGGCCTGCAGACTCCGCCCCAGAGGCAGGAGCTCCCAAAGAGCAGCGCGTGACGGACATCTTTTCGTTGGGCAAGGTAGTCAATGAGTGTGTAGTTGATGATTACTCAGATCGAGCTAATGATGGAGTCGACGCAGGCTTCGGTTCGAGGGGAGATGTGAATGTTGATGGTTTGTTGAATCTTTTTTTCTGCTTAGGGAGAAAAGATGTGGTGAAGGAGACAGACATTTGATCTGGCTCACATTACGCGTCATGTATCACCAAGAGACGTTCAGGACGGTTCGTCTCAAGACTGCTGATTCTGGCAAATGCTTGGCTTGGCTTACGAAGGAGGTACATGAGGCGATCAGCAAGGCAGACACCTCGACACAAGTACCCGACCTTCTTCCGGGACAACTTGGCCTCTTTCAACGTCTCTTCCTCGCGCATCTTCACCCTGCCAAGTTCATCCCATGCCCTTCTGTCTTTCACATTCTCTCTTCAATCTTCAGCAAGAAAACAAACTACTCGACGGACCCCGTCGTATCTTCCACCCAAATGGCAACCTGACTGACCTCATCAATTGGAATGCCCTCGAAGGCAAATGCAAAGGTGAAATGGGTGAGAATGCCATACATCTTGAATGCTTTCGTCAATAAGCTATGCAAATTATATTGACTTGATATTGACCGGGACTTGGATGAAATCCTGCGGAATCTCAACATGTGGGGAGATACTGTCGAGGCTTCGGCATTTAGCTCGGAGCCTCAAGATTGGCTCCGTTTCGAAGCCTTCCTTCAGAGAGCCACAGCTTCGGAATCGGTCGACTCGCTGTGGGTGTACACATTGTGTCACGGTCTCGTTTTCTTATCCTTGCTAACTGCTACTTATGGTTCTTTCACTCAGTACCTCCGACATTCTGGCCAACCTGGAAACGGTCAATCCTGATGAGTTGACGAAGAGGGAAAAGATGGCGCAAGCACTCCTTCGAGCGGGATTTACGTTCACCCTTCTTTGCCGGCATAACTCGTTATAGTATGTCAATGCGATGCTGACCATGATCCACTGCATCAGGCATGCTTGGCATAGACGAGAGTAAGCATATTACCAATCATCTAGGCCCCGCGCTCTCTCGAGGAAGTATGGTCAGCTGACCGATGCGCACAAGTGGTGGAATATCGGAACCCTGAGTACACATCAGGGCAGTGGCTCCAGCCAAGAGCACCACAATATAAGCATCCATCTCAGTCCAGTCATGGAGCAGCTGAAATAGTAGTCTTTTATTGCTAACTTATCTTCAAAAACGGCAGTGGTTGCTGCAAGTGTCTGTTACTCTTGCGTCTCTCGAATGCTCCAGCTGCAAGCAAGTCATGCAGGGCACCCATTTTTGATGCATCTCTAGCTGCCCTTGTGACAAGACACTTGATCAGGGCCAACGACCTGTTTTCTGCGAGAAATGTGATTGAGGGTCCAACGGAAATCACCCAGAGGACTTGCGCAAAACTCACAAGAGATGCATACTGTCCGCCTGTACGTCTGATGAACAAGCAAGGATGGTATGCTAATGTCATGGCGATGATCTCTCATCCGACAGAATGGAGCCCTTGTTCCCGTTTCCAAGGAATGGTCGCGTCCGACACGACGTAGGCTGCCCCTTGGTGATGCTCAAGTCTCAACACTGGAAGTCCAAGATCAGTGAGCTGAAGCGCCTTGGGATGTTGCAAGACCCCAAGGAAAGGGGTATTGGCGACATTCTGACGAAGGCTGCGATGACTGCCGGTGCAGCGTTGAAGATTCACCAAGATATCCCGCAAGGAAATGTTCACACGAGCCTCATGATGGGGCCGCTGATTATCGGGAAAGGAGTGCCCCAGTTAGTACCCTTTTCTAACACCTCAATACGTGATGCCAATGGAAAAAGTTCTATCCTTGGTTCTACTACGTAGGTCGAAGAAGGGGGCGTTGATCACGGTCCGAGACCGTCTCCAGCTCCATCCAGTGGGTACAACTACGAATTCAGTCAACTGGTGCTTTGCCCTCACCAACAAGAGACAGCTATTCCTTACGGATAAGCAAATACCTCGGAACCGTCGTGTAAAAGCTTTCATGGAACAGGTCGTCGGTGGCCCATTCTGGGAGTTGGAAGAGGATAACCGTGTCGTGGAGTCAAAAATCATCAAAATGGTAGCCAAGGCCAGCTTGAAGTATGCCGACAACCCGAAGAAAAAGTACAGTGCGAGAAAGAGTATACTCAAAGAGATCCATGAATTTCTCCACGGTCGTGTCGGATGCTACATTCATATCATCTTTAAGAGGCTTGCCGACAAAAGCCTAGAGCTACGGAAGTTCCTCGCCCCATCGCTTGCTAGATGACTGGTCTACTGAGATGAGTGTGTCCTGCAGCTAACATTAGCCATAGAGTGCAACCCATTGACTAACTAATGTCAGAAGTTCTGTTACCCTTTGATCGACCGCAATACCTTCGGCAGTTTCATGATTTACCCTCGGGAATGTGAAGAGAAGAAGCATGAAGCACCGCAAGCACTATATCCACTGAGCTTGATCAGTCGGATCGGCTGCCATGATGGCTTCCCCAAAAGAATGATTCCATCTTCGAGGGCCACATCTGCAAACGGTCACACGGAGGAGTTCTTTCTTCGCTTCCATCGCTTCGACCACCATAATGACACGGACGTTATCGTCAGCCTAACAGAGTACTGGACCGATTGGGGAGGTTTTCCTGAACCTATATTTCGACATCAAGGTCTCTCCCCGTGGGACTGTACTGAAGCACGCACTCAAGAGGAGGAGGCTGCGTGTCCTTAAGTGACGTGCGGGGATGACTCTTTGGCAAAGCACCTTGAAGCGTTCCCTTTTGACGCATGGTGCCTTACCCAGCTTCATGTTTTCAGATAGCGGCGATCTCATGCCCCAGCCTCAGACCTAATATACGATGAGCAGTTGGCAACCTACACGCAATTGCGTGACTTCCGGTCTGAGAACGTGCATGAAGTCATTGAGGAAGCGAGGCAGAAGTGGGAGTCAACAACGTCACGAGCCGGCGACCAGATGAGAGCTCCTGTCATTTCCAGTGTACGAACCGCAGGCTGGAGAGACGGGATTGGATTCCTGAAGAACTTGCTCCGGAAGGATGTGACGGACTGGGTGCTGTGATGGAGTTTGACTCGGGCGGGACGTGCAACTGTGTATGTGGTGTTACGGCTCTGTCGGGTTTCGACTCGTCTTCGGCCTATGGAGGATGGGACTTGAGTTCGGGTGGCAGTGGATTCTCCACCGACCTAGGGAGCCACACAGGGTTTGACGGTGGGGGAATCGGCAGTGACAGCTATTCCAGTAGCGGTAGTGATGGCTGTAGCAGTTTCAGTGATGGCAGAGGTGGCAGTAGTAGAAGTCATAGTCATGATGGGGGCGGGAGTAGCTCTAGTCATGGAGGGAGCAGTGGTTGCGGAGGAAGCAGTGGTGGCGGGGGCAGCTACTGATGCTAAGGGGCGGTCCACGATGAGGATGCGCGTTGTCTTCCATCTTCTTTCGACAGACTCGGTGTGACGGCCCAAACCCGGAGCAGGAGGTCTTTCGGCCCCTCACCCAGCAAGCCCCCACCGCAAACAATGGGGTCTCCGGCGCGCGGAATGCCCAAGTATACGTGTATGTTTAGCTTTGAGGAACCGTCCTCCTACAAGCATGAAGAACCTTGTGGTCCTATCAAGAAAATCTCGCTATTATTGTGACGGGACTATGATTAATCACAATTGATATCACCTAGCTCATGCTCGAAACACCAAGCTACTCCTTGAATCATCAACCAGACTAGAGAGCAATGACGAAGACGTTATCAGTGACCGTGCGGCGCGGCTTGCAGTTCGCAGTTCCATAATGGACAGGGGACCGCTGTGTAACACATACGGCAGACTTATCCCCGCCGGAGCGCTCGCGCCTGAGCGTCAGCCGAGCGATAAGCCTTGCCCGGAAGAGTGCCTCTTACCCACAACTGCAATCCCAGCGAAGCTGAGATCCGTCGACAGCCGCGGACAACGGCTTTGCGGGCCGACTGAGTCCCTGATTCATGGCGGCCGCACTCGTTGCGGTGGCGTTTATCAAGCGCTGTGGTCCCCTGGCCAAGCCTGCCAAACGATGAGGCTTGAGCGGAAGCTTAAATCGACGTTAACCCGCAATGGGCTGTAAGCCCAGTAATCCCAGCAACAGGAGATACATGATCCTAGCAAGAAGAGAAGCACTGACAGCCGCAAAGATCGGCTCCACTGGTCGATTGACTTTCGATTTAGGACCACCGCACCCCCCTCATCCGTGTATAGCAGCTTGTGTGGTAGTGGGGGCCCCTGCTGGAGATAAAGGCTGGCATCAAACCTTCTTTTCGTCAAATACCATTTTCAGCAATCCATCCCGGAAGTCATCTGTAGATCCTGCCCTTATCCGTCTACTATAGTAGTCAATATGACTAGATATTTCGGCTATTTGATTGACTCCTGATTCATGGCGGCCGCACGGTCGCACCGTTGTCTGGCGGCGGGGTCCGTGGCAAACGTCGGCCCGGATGCGAAACCTTAAGCCGGAGCGTGGGGCGCACCCGAACGAGTCCCGGCTTTCAACCAACTACATTCCTTCTCGGTAGTACGGAGTGCACGATGCGCCATATGCGGATAGAGCACGTGTGGATGCGGCTAAGAGAGACCCTGAAAGGACATCTCGGAAGGGCTCCCCGGCCTCACCAGTCAAATCTCGGCCGAGACGGGGTTCCGGCCTTGGATGTAAGTGTCTCCAGTCCTCCACAGCCTCCACAGTGGTGACTTGGGGGCCTCCTGGCCTGCTTTGATCTTGGCATGATAGCAACGCGGGGCCGCGGGGGTCAGCGTCCCGCATCTCGCTCCGGGGTTTCTTCTTGTCCGGGGAGTTAGAACGTGAAATTGTCCGCTGAGTGAATCTTGTGACCCGAACTGGCAGGGTCCTTGCTGGGCGTAATTTTATTTCGTCCCGTACCAAATGACTAGCACCCGGGGGCTGGGTACTTTCCGGGGGCTTCTTCGCTCTCTCTAATTCGTAAATCCCAGGTCAATTTTAGAACAATGAGACTCACAAGGATGTCGCTAACAACCTTGGCTCTTGTGTCTTTCAGACGAGACGGCAACGTCATGTCCATGAACGGGTAGGGTTGGGTCAACACCAGTTGCCTGGTATTGAGATCAGCCCAAACTGCATGTGAGAATTGGCCGGCCGACCGGCTTGCGTCTTCACTTCGGGCGGTTTTTCAAGCTAGGCGCGAGTCAAGTAATGTATGCCTCACGAAGTTGTAAAGACCAGTGACCTTTTGCCCTGTACGGGTACTCAAAACTCACTTGAAGCATGGCGCGCGTCTGCATTCATGGGGCATAATACCTCTGAGTTCAACGCACGACGATTGGTGAATCAACTAAAAGCTGTCACGGCATGCAGCATGGCCACTGCTCAACATCACGATATGCAAAATGAGGTGAGGACGGCGTGAAATGAAGACCCCCACATAATCACTTCCGTCAGACATGATAGCTATGGCGACAGACTACAGCACCCACATGTTCAATCTAAAGAGTTACTAAAACTCGAAGATAGCCATGCGTGCACCTCGTAGGTAACAGAGAAGTGGACGTCAAACTTAGTGTAGTCGGTGTTCTAGTGGTAGGTCGGTCTCGCATTTTGCATAGGAGCGCATAAAGCATGTGTTTTACTTGTAGAGAGCACTAGGCGTACTACGTATTTAGCTTCCCTTCATTTGCCGCGACCTTTCGGGTGATTGACTCGGACAACCTAAACTACATGCAACACGGACACTCCTCTGGTCTTTTCGGGTACTATTCTAAGGTTCACGCGATCAGATGAAAGACTGGGAGAGTAAAGAGCTCAGACGAAGCTCGCAACCCAGACATCCATGGCAGCAACTCCCTTCTTCCCCCCCGGTACACCGTCCAAACTCGCCTCGCAAGCATCGCGCAACGCAAAGACCACGGCGCGCTCCCGCTCATCCTTGACTCGCTCCTCCACCTCGCGAGCGAAACCAGATCCAAGACAGGCAGAGACCTCCCACTGTCCATCCTGTAGCCCTTCGCCGCCTTGCACGCGGGTCTCCTTCTCTAGTTGCCACCCAGCCGCGACAGCCAGTTCGGTGAGGCGCTTCGGGCCAAGCACTGTGCGGACGTTGGAGATGCTCTCTTCGCCTTTGCGGCACTCTAGAGCGGCTTGAGTGAGGGCGGCTAGGACGTGAGGCCGGGCGGAGGTGTGAGTTGCTTCCAGGGACCATTCAGAGAGCAGAAGACGTTTGCTATGCTGCCTAATTGCACGGAAGGTTTCCAGGATGAGGGAGGGGGAGGAAAAGTACCAGAGGCAGTGGGCGAGAACTGTTGCGTCGAAACCCTTGGCATCTCTAGTTAAAGTGAGGGACGAGAGATAGTCCTGGGGGCTTTGTTGGACCCAGGTAATACGTTTGCCAAGCGGACCTTGTGAGATGTGATCCTGTGCTTGCTTGAGAGTGTACGGTGCACCTACAGAAGCGATCCATCAGTTGGCCTGCCTGTCTAGGCTACCTACTTGCAGAAATGACAGATTTCAGCAAGGACTCACCATAGTCCAACGAGGCCGGATCAACGGCCACCACGGTACCTTGCTCGCCCACAACAGTGGCGAGGGCGGTGGTGCAGTCTCCCTGTCCGCACCCTAGTTCCAAGATCTTGGAGCTAGTTGGAATGTCCCAGTGTTGTAGGAGAGCCAGGCGGTGAACGGTCTGGGTGAGCTGGACATTGAAGTGCTTGGGGTCGTGCAAGGAAACACGAGCAATAGTCGCGGCGTCAAGTTGAGTGGACATTGTGTTCAGTGTAAGTCGAGTGAGTCCGGATGAGTGATTGATACAACAAGGATTAGTGTGTTGGGATCGGCCAAGGAGGTTAAGGTAATGAAATATCTGGTGGATTCTTATTTCTAAAAGCTATCACTGGGGGCAGTGGGCTCTTGTACTACCTCTGTAGGGTGAGACCTGGCCTTTAGCGTTTATGTTAGGTTTACCCCTCCAAGGATTCAGGAACAAAACATGCTGCCCACACCAGCCACGACCATTATACCGTCCAAAATCTGTGCATATTTCTGCCCCCAATTCGTTAGTCAGTCTCAACTCCTCCTCACTCCCTCTTCCTCACCAACTCAAACCCAAATCGCGGCAACATAGTGTCCAGATGCATGAAGCTCACATGACACGCCACGCGCTGGCACTTCAACTCTACCACGAGATTTTCTGCCCCGCTAGGGCAGGCAAACTCCACTGTCGTGCTGTTCGGTTTTATGGTGAGTGTCGGATTGGAAGTCCAATTCGACCTCGAGGCAAGGGGCCCGCGCAGGGGCCACTTACAGACCATACTTACGAGATCTACGGTCTACCTAACCTCCGGTTAGAACCTCCTTTTTACACCTTATGTAGAAGTTAAATATATATAGATTTTAACCTCTTCGTTACCTACGGTTCGAACCATCCTTATAATAGGAATACTAACACTAATTAGTAGTTAAATCCTACTATTATAGATTAGTAAAGCATCTTGTAAGCAGAAGAGACGACCTCTTTAAACAGAACGCAATAAAAGAATCGTATTACTTACCCGATAGAAAGTAGGTAATAAGACGTAAATCTCTATAATAGAATGAAGTAGAGGAATCGTAGCCCTTAACTGCCTATAAAAGGTCGACGTCTATTATATTAAAAATAAACCGTAATTAAAGGAATTGCGAGAAGGCGACTAAGTTACCTACATCGCCCTTACGTAATTTATCCTACTTAATAATCTACGGGCGGCCTATATACTAATAGAAGAAAATAAGCGAAATTACTAAATTTGTTAGATTAATAAATCCACTATAGATCTCGACCGTACGACAAAATAGGCCTAATTAGAGGATATAAAAAGGTACTTTAGGACTATAAAAATAAACTTTTAAGGCAATAAGGTATTTAAGTAGGAACTAGACCCTGCCGGTAGCTCTAGGCGTATTTCTTAGTTGAATCCGAGGAAGCTACCGGGATTAACGGTAATATTACTATTATTAAGACCGACTTCGAGATTCTAAGGTTAAGATTCCCCTTTTTACCTATACCTACTACCCCTCGGCTATTCCGAAAGAATAAGAGCTAGGCGGAGTTAAGATGAGGAAGGAAGGGATTTAGAAGTATTATAATACTTACCTTATAAAGGGGTATAAGGTACTTAATTTTTTAAATTATATATCCTTGCTAAACTATAAAAGTAAAGAAAGAGCTTATTACCCTAGTTAGTATAGGAGAAAGCTAAGAAGACGTTTAAGGAGAGAATATAAAAAGAAGGCTACTAGAAAACCTCTCTTATATAATAAGGTACGCTATAAGAAGAAAAAACCGTTAATAAGAAATATAATAGCTAATTTAAAAGACTAAAAGTAAATAGTAACGAGGCTCGCCATAAGGAGGTTAGAGGCCACGGAAAGCTCCTAGACCTTAATAAATACGGCGAGCAACAATAGTACGCTACTATTACGATTAATAAGCGGATTTAATATATCCTTATTAAGATTAAATATGCCGGCCCCTATAAATAGAAGTATAAGCCAAAGGACGATAGGGGGCGAGTCAATATATAGAACGTATAGAAGGACTCCTATCCTAAAAGATTAAATTAAGATTAATCCGGAGTACTAGGGGAAATAGTTATATCGAGACTTAGACCACCCTAATAGCGAGCAAATTAATACGGCGTTAGTCTTTATTATAGAGATATATGCCCATAAGGGGCTTAAAAGGTAACCCCTGTTCTATAGAGTCATAAACGACCTAGGTAACTGGAAAAATAAATAGTTTGCTAGCGCTAATCCTAGTGTTATTAAGGAGGTGAATAGATTCCTCTACTACCGAGGCGTTCTACTAGCCCAAAGGGTAAGGTAAAAGGCCTATAAGATACTTGCAGCAACAATAGCTATAGAGGACTTTACGCCATAGGACCAGAATTAAATCGATAAAATAATATTAAAGTATAAAGAATTTAATAAACGAGTGAACTAACCGGACTTTTTATTAAAGATCACTAATAGTAATATTACGGCGCCTAATCTAACATAAATAAGGGGGATTATACCGGAGGCGTATTAAACAATAATTCCGCTTATTGCGGTAACGACCTTAACGATAATACTAATCCGAAGATTGATCTTAAGCACCTAATAAAGTACGAGGTCGATAATATAGACACTACCTAATTACGCTACTATACGAGAAGTACGTAAAGAGAACGATCTAGTAGTAGCTAGTATAAGACAGTTTACTAACTTAAAAAAGATCTTTTTAAAAGAGAAATTATATTTAAGGGGGAGATATGAGGTCCTATAAGAAACCCTTACGATATTCTATAACTACTATAAAAAAGTCGGTATCTAAGAATATTAATATCATTTAGTAATTAATATTATACTAATAAGGAAAGCTGCCGAGTATTATTATTAAACGGTATATAATATCGATCGAACCGACTTTCTTAGTATCGTTAATATAATCTAAAGTCGATTTGAGACCTAAGATAGGAGCCTCGAGCTCCTCTTAGAGCTAAGGGTATTGTTATTTAGCTTTATAGCTAGAATAATAAAAGGAAAGTCGAGAATTAAGATCTTTGAGGAGCTTATTAATAGGATCGATAAACTAGCGAGGATATAGCTAAATGAGGGGATTAATAAGTAAAAGGTCGGTTATTTATGTACGGCGGTATAGAGGGTACTAAAGGTAAAAATGACTTTATATCAACCGCTTAAGGATTATAAGATGCTATATTCGAGGCTAAGGTCTAGTTTTAATATTAAAGCTAGGATACCAAATTAGACTTACTTTTAATCTTATAAAGGCCCTTATTAATAGTACTAGGTAGACCGTACGTATAATAATAAAGGAAGAGAGGTAAGGTATAGTAACCGTTAGAGGGGAGGAATAGACTCCTTAGGGGGGCGCTGGTCTAATACTAACCAAGTATTGTGGAAAGGGAAGTGTTTTATATATAAAAAAGAGGGTTATTAGTTAAGTAATTACTTTAATAAGGAATGCGCTAAATCGTATAATTAATATAAAAAGGTAGAGGGTATATAAAGTAAAACGGGCTATGATCGATTTAACTAATTCCTAGTAATCTACAAGAACTATCTAACGAACGTAATCGAGTCGTTTAAAAATAAAGAAGATCTTACCCCGTATATTTAAGACCTCAACTTCGATAAAGTTAATAATATCACTTATTCTTTCTTTACCCCGTCAACTTTAAGAGGATATATAATACTAAACAAACAGAGAGCGGTATAAGCCCTAAATAAGTAGGCTTTCTTCTATAGTTAGTAAGGGAAAGTCCCTCAGCTAACAACAACGCTTAGCAGCACGGGGGACACGAATACTAATACCGCAGCCATAGCTCGCACTAAAGTTAAAGGGCCTAGGGAGGAAAAGAGAACGATAGGCTTATAAGTACATAATTTATACCTACTAAGAGGGTTCTATAATAATCCAGTATAAGCATTTTATACTAGTAAAAGGTATAACTTAGAAACCTTCTACAAGATTATTCCAGATACTAGGGCATTATAATGGTCGACGGGGGGTAAAGGATAATTCTATATACTCTAAAAGATCTCACTAGTAACCCTTAATATTATAAACGCGGGCATTATAAGGATCAGTTTCGGCCTAGGGGAAGAGATAAGTACCTTAGGTATTATAGATATAAATATACGATTCGGAACGATGATTTTCTATATTCTACTTATTAATATACTATTCCTCCTATGCCTGAACGACATAGATAAATTAGGTATTATGTTTAATAATATAAGGAATAGAATATTTAATGGAAAGCACTCTAAGCTTATCGATCGACGATAGGGGTACGTATTTATAAAGCTTGAACTAGACGTCAAGTTTATTAATTACTTAACGAAAAGTGAACTTAAGTAACTATATTAACGATTTAGCTATCCGTCGGTAATAAGACTATATAATCTCCTTAAATATTTAGGGAACGATGTAGAAATAAGGGCTTTAAAGTAATTAACGATAGTGTACTACTAGTGCTAAATAAACGCCTAGAGCCCGTATAGATTTAAGTTCAAATTATACGACGACCTTAATTTTAATTAGGAAATCGTTATTGATATCTTCTATTTAAACAGTCGACTAGTACTCTATATAATCGATAAAGCCATATCATTCCAAGGAGGCTAATTTCTTTAAGATATATAAGCTAAGACCGTATAGGTAACGTTAAAGCGCTATTAGATCGATATATACTAAGGTCTACTAGACAGCATTAGAACCGATACCGGCACTAGCTTCAAGTCAGCGGAATTCAGGAAGAATATTACTTCATACGGTATTTAATTAAAAGTCGTCCCTATCGAAGCGCACTATAGTATTAATAAGGTAAAAAGATTATACTAATAGTTAAAAAGAGCTTTTAAGATTATCTAGAAAGAGAGCCCTAGTTTAACGGATAAAGAGTGCCTTTAGACGGCACTTAAATATTATAATAATACTATAGGACCTAAGGGGCTCGTTCCGACGCTACTTATATTTAGAGTATACCTATGAACGACGACGGCCTTATTACCGTTACTAAATATAACCTAAAGGGCGCAAGTAATCGAGAAAATAATAAAGACTCTCCACAAGGTAAATATTAAAAAGCAAGTTAATAAAGCTATTATTATATATAATAGGCCCGACGTGAGCCTTAACTTTAATATGCCCC